GTTCCGTACTGTTTGGTGGTGAACTCGACTCCAAGGTACAATCACTCGTACGATGGCAACACATCAAGGGCAGTGTTGTTAATTCAGCCGTTTGTATTGCAATCGGTCGAGGTATACTTCTACATGGAAATCGAAATTTACTACAAGAGTTTGAGGGTCACATCAACTTGACCGTGGACCGAGCAAAATCGCTGCTTCATCGCATGGGTTACGTTAAGAGAAAAGGTACAAATGCTGTCAAAAAATTGTAGATGACTTTCCCGCCGTTGAAGCAGCTTTCCCTGAACGGGTAACCCAAGAGCTTGTTATAAACTGGGACCAGACCGGTGTTGCGATAATTCCAGCAGGCGAGCGGACAATGGAAGAACAAGGATCACATCAAGTCACAATAGCTGGACTGAATGACAAGCAGCAAATTACTGCATTGTTTGCATTGACTGCTTCAGGTAATTTTTTACCACCTCAGATATTATATAAGGGGACTACCGATCGTTGTCACCCAGGCTACTATTTTCCCGATGCTTGGGATGTTTTGCACACAGAAAGTCATTGGTCAAATCATAATTTCATGATGCTATACGTCGATAACATCATTATAACGTATGTGAATGCAACCAGGACGAGGATTCAACTTCCAGGCAGTCGCCATAATTGATGTTTTTAAAGCACATCGCGGTCAAGAACTTTTGAAGAAGTTGAACGATCTCTGTAGTATTTGTGCCAGCATGCTGCACAGCTCGTCTTCAGCCCCCTGACTTGTCCGTGAATAAGATCTTTAAAGATGCAATGAAGCGAGAATTGCAGAATTTGTATGGCGACCGTGTGTGTTCAGGAATGAATAACGGCGTAGATGACCCAACCCAACCCAACATCAACCACTCTACTAGTAGTTCATACCCGCCAAAAACACCGGTCAGTCAAAATGACTATTTTGAACTGTAGGCATTAATCTGCAATTCAGCCAATGACGGAGAGAGAAATCTAGGTCAAGGGAAGCCCCATGACCTCAAGATTTTCTTCCACGTAATGTAACACGTGACCAAGGTCAAGAGGTCAGCGCCACCTTGCCTTATGCTCACTCCCCTGTTTTCTCCATATATGAGGACTTAAAGCAAATCGTTACATGTGCTTGCTGCCTTGCCTCAACTCCCTAGTACTCCTCTCATAGCAACTCAAAGCTCGAACTGGGCATAGAAGCAACTTCTCCTGAACTTCTTGGCTGACAATACTGGCCAAATGAGGGATGACGATCAGCTGTGGATCGTGCCCTGAACCCCTATTAGCCCAGGCCAAGACATTGGCATCCCGCTCAGATAAACCTTCCGTCTATGCGAGCCTACTGAGAGCCTCCATGCGTGTAAATGGTAGATTGCTGGGCTCATTGGTAGTGTGCCGTCTGGTTGGGACAGCAGATATGGAATGTTCGGAAGCACTACCATTGTCTTGACTAACATTTCCAACAGTAGTGGAAGCCAGGCCTTGTTGATTACCAGGTGAAACAGCGAGAAGGAGGAAAGACATATGCGTCCATGTGGGCCCACTGGATCGATAATGCGTCCATGGCAGATGATCCTGGAGTCAGGAGGGATGTCACGTACGTAAGGAGCTTGACATTCAGGGATGTGATGAACAGGTCTATCGTGGGACCATCTCACAGCAGTCTGGAATCTACCCATTTGGGTACCTACAACACTGTGTTCTAGAAACCCTGAGCGGGTATCCATTTTACTGTTCCATCACCCCTGGAAGGCAATTAGCTCCACATAGAATTTCAGGCACCAATGGAGAATTTGCTCCGCCAGAGCTGACAACGATGGAAATATGGCCTCCCCTCCTAGTTGGAGTGGAAGGAGACCACCGCTGTGTTGTCTGTGTGAAGCAAGACTCTGTGGTCACGAACTATGGGTAGAAAGTGTATCAGTGCTAAGTGTACTGCTTTCAGTTCGAGCCAATTGATATGGCGACCCTGAATCCAATGCAGGGGCCATATTCCTTGGACTTGTTCGTCCATTAGGTGCACTCCACAACCTGTGAGGGAGGCATCCGTTATCGAAGTCATACCCGTGGTGAGTGGGTCCAAGGGAACCCCTGTCTGATGTTGGCGATTGCCATCCACAAGGGCAAGGCATCCCTCACTTGGTCCGATGGAGTTACTTGCCTCTCCAGTTTCCAGTATGACCAGTATTGCAACAAAGTGTGTTACACTGGGCGGCTCCACAGTGCAGCTTGACGAACTACCCTGTGAACTGACATTCTTCATGCATTCTTGGAGGGCCAGAGGGAATACTGACTAGACGTTTGTCTAGACTGCGATGGACACACCAAGCTTGCTACTTTGTCCATGGCCAGAAACACCAGCTGATGTGACGGGTGTGGATGGGAAGTTGTTAGATTTACTAGAAAGCCTTATGGGTGTAGTAAATCCTGTGTTACTCTTCTATTTCCTGGGAGATTAGGGGCACTTGCCTCCTGGCTTCTTCTGGCCAGTGGGCGCCGACTTCAGCTGCTGCTTTTTCTCTGCTTGGAGTCCCATCTGCTTGCCCTTGACAGCAGCCAACTGGCTCTAGGATTCCACCTGTACCATCTGATCAGTGGCTCCCTGAAGAGGAGGAGGAGGTCTAGTAACTGAGGCGGTGACACACCCAGTGACCGGCAAAAACACAAACTGCCAAAATGACATCCCACTGCACAGTGGTACTCCCTGTCGAGAGAGCCAGATGACACTGCAGGATATCACACATGGCCATGCGATGTCTAGCCAACAATTGTGTCTGTTGGTTTTGGAGGCTGGTGCGTTTGGCCTCTGAGATTTCAGACAAAAAGTTAATGGGTCACAACTGGACTGTTTCTGACTGAAATGCAGAGAAACTCCACAGAACACGGCAATCCCTTTTTATCTGTCCTACCAATTAAGTTCATGGTACCTGGGCTGGGGAAAGGAACCGAGGGATCCCTTCGGGGCGTGAGGTTTAGCTCCAGACTCTGTTGGTTCCGGTACCATAAAAAACACCGGTCCAGCAGAAAGTATTAGTCATAAGGTTATCCCACCCTGGGCTCTTAGGACTATATTCTTCCCCAGGCAACTAACGTCCTCCCATCAACACCACCTGTGCGCCCGCCACATTCAGCAATCTGCCGGACCAGGGGAGCCGAACATTAGATGTTGCATTGGATCCATCACCTGGGATCCTGGAAGCCATGACACTACCGAGAGTGACTTCTTCGGAATCGAGGGTGAGGGTATGAAACTTCTGATAGGCGGGTCAGTCCCCTCTGGGAACGCCTGCAGGTCTTCCAAGGAGGATGAGGAGGCAGTGCTCTGGGAAAAACCCCTGGTACTGGCTCCGACTGATGATCCCTGGCTGGCAGGAAGCGGGGGAGAGACGAAACCAACATCCTGCCCTGCTTGGCCCCCTTCTTGTAATTCCGCAAGGCCGAGTTGACTTATGGGGTGACAACACAGGAGGTGAGGAGCTCTGCTTCCTTTCTTCTAGTCGGCCATTCTAGCTACACTAAGAATTAACAAGGTATGCAGTTGAAAGTGACACAATACAGCCCTACAAAAGTGTTCAAATGTGTCAACCGAGTTTTTTTGTGTGCGATACAAAAAGGACACAGGCCCCTAATAAGAATAAGGAAAAATGTTATCCTACCAGACACCACGTCTTACTGTTACCAACAGTCACAGAAGGAGTACCTCAGAAAACTCAGTCGAAAAACTGCTGACTGAACCGCACTGTTTTGCTACAATGCACACTCGGTGCGGAGAAAAAAGAGAGTGAACATAAAGCAAGATGGCGCTGACTTCTTGACCTTCATCATGTGTTACATGATGAGGAAGAAAATCTTGAGGTCATGGGGCTTCCTCTGACCTAGATTTCTCTCTCCGTTATTGGCTGAATCGCAGACTAATGCCTACAGTTCAAAATAGTCATTTTGATTGAATGTAGTGAATTAGCCTGTTTCAAGCTTACTACGACGTTCCTATTGGTGGCCATTCAATGAAGACAACCAACGCAAGTAATTTTATTTTAAAAAATCATTACGATTAGTTACCGTTCTTAAAGATGTCAGTTGGGTTAGAAAAAATGTGTGTGATATGTTGCAAGTTACCGAGTGAAACTTAGAACATACTCATTTATATGCTGTGTTTATATGAGAGCAGTAATTACACAATCTAGTAAGTTGATTTTAAACTGTTATGTTGTGAATGTCTTCAGAAGACATGTTAGGCACTTGTTATATGATTTAGTCCAATAGCAAGATTCAAAATCCAATCCTGAAAAAGAAACTAGTAGACTAGTGAACTCTTCATATGCTAACATTCCTCAAAGTAAGTACACTATGTACACAAATTGAGGAAGGCATCAGCCATTGCCAAATTATACATTGCGCAAATTTGAGTCTTTAATGCATATATTAAGACTTATAATGAAAGGTGTCACACGCAACGTAATATTACCATAATTGGTATAGTACAGGTGTGATGGTTCAAATACCAAAATGGCAACAGTAACAGAAAGACTTCCCTGGCGGTGATGATAAAATACGAACACGGAGCTAACAGGTGAAGTTTCAACTGGTACTGGTATTATTATACTCTGCAAACATCAAGTACAATAACGTGGTAAAACTCCACTACTCCAATAACTAGATACTTAAACTCCAACACAATTCAACGAGATCTCCGATCTGATCTCAGTGCTGAACAACTCCCCTATATATACCCACACTGTTTATAAATAGAGCATTACATCAGCATACATAATGAGTCTGGAACTTACTGCCAATTTCTAGAATGTTCCATTACCTTCTATTGCCTCCTACAGTGTCCTATTACCTATTCAACCAGTTTCTAAACAAAATCTAGAACATTCTCAGTCACACGGAAGTGGTAAACAAGTCGTATGCGACAAAAGGGAGCAAGGGGATTTTAATAAATAAGTAAAATTAAATTTAACTACAATTGTACACACTGTAAAGTTTATTTATTTGGTATGTCAGCTTAGTTCAAATAATTGTGTCAATGTCTCATTTCTTTAAGTCACAAGTGTCACATGGTAGACAAAATAAATGTCATAGTTCACATTTTATTTTCAGGTAGTTATTTTGGAGTCCTTAGTGTTTACAATTCAGATGACATTGTATTCAGGTCAGAGATCACATATCCATTACATCAGGTCAAAGTGCACAATCAAATCTTGTCTGCGAGCCAGAATACATAGAGACATTGTTTTCATTATGGATTCTTATAACTTCTGAATAGAATTTGAAGAGATGAGACCAGCCAAGTTCTCAGAATAAACAATCTAAGTTTATTCCCATGATACACATTATAAGATGATTCACACTAAAGTCCTTTTCCATGTCTCACCATAGATGGCGTGGTTCTGTCAGCTGTATTCACATTTATGCCCGCAGCCTGCTGGACACCATGAACTGCTTTTCAGCCACTCCTCAATGTGATGTAAATGTCCACCATGGGAACAACCTTGGCACCAAACGTATAAACCTTTCACAACGTGATGACTAAAAAACATAAGTCAAAATTACATTCATTAGTATTCATATGGGAAAATTTTTACATAACCCCATTGTGTCTATGGCAGGTTCTAATAGCAAATGTTGGTAATGGATTATCAGTATCTCAAATATGAAGGTATATATTTCTGTGTCACGCATTGCATCATGGGTAAATACTGACAGGAAAGTCATTATCATCAGGCAAAATCAACAAACTTTTGAAATATATTTCCAATGATTAAACCACACATAAACATCATATTATTATCATACGACTATTTGCAAACCCTTTTGTTAAAGACACTCACCATATTGAGCATGTATTAGTAATACTCTGACAACGATTACACACCCATCCACTTGTTATGAGAGATTTATTACACTTATTACAGTTTGTATGAATAGTAGTTGAAGCCTGAAATACACAAAAACAAAGATAATTATCCCTCAGACTATGACCGTACCACTATATTTCAACCTTCTGTGTATGCTATTTGACCATTCCTGATACCTAGTAATGAAGCAAAACAAGCACATATATAGTAAATACATATATGGAAATATATGTAGACAAATAAAAGATAAATTGAGTTACAAATTACGGTACTGCAGAGATCTGGAACTGAGCACTGCACCACATTGTTCAGCAATACTATTTGCATAAAAAAAAACAGTGGAAATCACCCGCTAGAGCACCTGTGAGTACTGTAGGTCAATCAGCACGCAACTAGAGGCACTTACACTGATATTGTTGTTTTTGTGATGAATGATCAATTGGTGCTGTGTTCAAATTCTACTCATGGTTTATTAAGTGGCATTAACACGTTTCCTTCTGGAGCTTTTTTATATATCATACTTGACCGCGTTAGCGCCCAGGGGCCTCAACTCAGAAAATCACAATTTTGTAGGGGTGGGCGCTTACCCGAGCACCCCCCTCGAAAAAGAGTGCAAATGAAAATTTTGATTCATCAAGTGACAGATTACGTCTTTGAGGGAAAATCAAATTACTAAATTAATTTGCATCGTCATTGATTTCACAATGAAGAAACAGAAATGATCACAAAAAATATGCACATTTTATTACAATATTAATTACGTACCACCATAATTTACTGAATTAAAAACATTTGAGTCTGTTGGAACACAGTTGTAGTCAAAATTGTCATATTATTTCCACTGACGAAGTTGTTGGATCGTACGCAAACTCTCGATGAAAATCACTTTCTGCCATGATGCAATTGCAGATTTGACCTACAGCAGTGTCATTTGACCCAATGGGTCAAAGTTGGTTATTAACTAATCAGAATGCTGTGTTGTACTGACGCAATTCTTCGAAAATTCCCGAAGACTTTCCGGTAACGCAATGCGGAAGTGAATAATCGATGTCGAAGTACGATCTGTTGGAATTGATTTCAGCGAATAAACGATATGGTTTTTCCAAAAAACTAGTAACTAGCCATTTTTGAGAGGTAAACTGAATATGGCATGAAATATTTATCGCATTTTACTTGTATTAACAGGTCATTGTCGAAGCGTAGTTTACGCACGGTTACCGTGTTCTACGCATTCACAACATGTTCACAGCGATCGATGTCCACGCTGTATCATATAAAAACGATTACCAAGATTCATTACGCATGACCAAGTTTTAAATTAGTTGCATTTTGAAGGGGTGGGCGCTTTGCTGAATGTGACCCCAAATATAAAAATAGCGCAAAAGTGGAGGGTGGGCGCTTGCCCGAGCATGGGCGCTAACGCGGCCGAGTACGGTAATAGATATCTGGAGGATTTCAGAAGTGGATGTATTAATAAACTAATAGTTACCGAAGTTGATGTTAATATTCTGTTTTAATGACCTGGAGAGGACACATCTGATCAAGGAGCAGCCAAGGTTAATAATTCCTATGAGGGTCATTTAAACTGAATATTGCTGAGGTAACTATATGTTTTATTCTATCAAATAAATTAACAGAATATGAATCAAACATTGGAATTAAGAAGGGATTAACATGTACAATAACATGAGTACAATAACAAAAATTATTGTAGTGCTCAACACCATAGGTTACAGAGCTAGGTATATAATGATGTATATATGATGTGTTTTATTGACCACCACATGACCACGTTCTGACCAATCAACATGATGTTCTTGCACATGAGGTACAATAATAACAATTAATAAAATATATATGTTCAAACAACCCTGTCATGTATGTTCCACCTGCTTTGGTAATTTGGGAACAGAAAAGTCAGGGGAAACAACACTGACCGGCACTATCGTGTTGCCTGAGACAAAACTTTTGGTTTTTTTAAGTTTTAAAATATATGAAACACAACCCTGATTTAAATTAAAAGCAAGGTAAATGGTTTCTCAGTGGCAGCAATATACATGTACATTGAAAGGCGCCCTCTAGTGGCCTAAAGAGCATATAAATATTAACATATTGCCAATATTTGAGAAGTATATTCACCTGATTTAATGCACCGACAGCATGATGATTACTTAGTTTAATAATTTCTGTTGCTACTACCCATAATTGAAATCTACATAATAACTCTGAAACAGAAATACAATTTGTGAGAGATTAGACTGTTTAAAGTCAAGGCTAACAACTTTCTCAGACGAAAGAGCTCTGCAAATGTAAGAAAATGCAATTTACAGTTTTCATTGTCTAGATATTCAACTTGTTATCAGTATTATGTAGTCAGCCATTTTGATTCTTCAGTAAAGGATTATGGGTAACGTATGACATCATAACCACAATTGTGAGAAATTGAGAAAACGGAGATGACATAATACTAATGTAAAGCTGAATATCTAGAGAATGAAAAGTGATATAAAAAAAAAAACTGAAAATATCATTCTCCTACATTTGTAGGAGCTTTTTCATCTGGGAGCAGTATGTTGTTTGTCTTGACTTCCCCTTTAAAATGCAGTGGTCATCACAGCCAGGTGCAATCAAAATTTATGTCAACAAACAACATATTTGACAAATATGTATACATAGTATGGGTCCCATAATAAATAAACATGGTCTATGCTACAACTAATACAAATTGTTTCTTCATACAATTATATTTCATGTTATTGAACTGTATGTACAATGTATATTTCAAACATACATACATTCAAACAATTCTAATTTAACATTTTCAAACCTGACATCACAATGAGTCCACCAATGAGCAGACATTTTGTTGCTTTGTTTATTTCAATGTTTATAGGTATATTAAGGTAGAAGCCTACCCATACAATTTTTGAAACAAGCAGCCTGTCCGCTGAGATAGCTCCGCTGTTATCAATGCACATTGCAATTAAAGAACAGAAGATATCATTCGAAAATGAATGTATAGTATTAAAGCAATCAGACTTTTTATAACTTTTTATCAAAAATATTCATTAAAATTAGATAATTGAAGAACAAAATCATCACAAAATGAACAAATCTGAGAGACGTCTACCTATATGCCTATGTAGTATATATAATATCAAAGCAATTGGACTTGCGGTTTTAACAAGAAGTCGAAAATATCACTTTTTACCAAAATGACAAAAATATTCATCAAAATTAGAGAATTAAAGATATCATCACAAAATGAACAAATCTGAGAGAGGTCCACATGTAGTACCTAGAAATGTAGTATCAAAGCAATTGGGCCTGCGGTTTTTAACAAGAAGTCGAAAATATCACTTTTTACCAGAAATGACAACAAATATTCATCAAAATTAGAGAATTAAAGATATCATCAAAAAATTAACAAATCTGAGAGAGGTCCACCTAAGGTACCTACATACCAAGTATCAAAGCATTCGGGCTAGCGGTTTTCAAGAAGAAGTCAAAAATAGCATTTTTGACCAAAAATGACAAAAAAATTCGCTATAAATAAGACAATTGAACATATCCACACGAAATGAACAAATCTGAGAGAAAAGCACCCAAAGTACCTTCCTAGAAAGTTTCACAGCTATACAGTCTGTGGTTTTTAAGAAGTCGAAAATGTAAAGTTGACGACGGCGATGACGGCGACGACGCCGGCAGACAATCAGTAATACTATAAGTTCCGCTCGACTTCGTCGACAGCGGAGCTAAAAATTGGTCATAAATAGCAAGACAATGTTCATTCGTTTATTATGCACAATCATAAAATTAATGTTTCATAGCACAATAATCTAGGATTCTTTTGTGTGAAAATCGCTATTTTCAGAAAAATTCCACAGAACACAACGTTAAAAAAATATTGCATTTTTGAAATTTTTTTAAAAACCCAGAATTAGGGCAACAAAAAGTACCAACAACAATATATTATTTTTTCAGCCTATGTCAACAGCCCATAATTTGAGATATGGCATAATATCCCTGCCATGGGAACCTATGGTAAAAGTCTTATAAGACAAAATGGCAAATATCCACTAAAATATACCCATAATTTTTCTCAAAAATTAGGCCGGTGACCCCCAACTTTTTTTGAGTCAAAATCCTTACATTGCCTCGGAATACAATTTATTGTAAAATTTAAATGAATTCTGGGTAATTTCAATTATGAGTAGACTTCTACCTTAAGAAAACAACTGCTTGAGTTTCCTAACAGTTCTTCTGGTCAAACGATCCATGAGCAATGATTTTACATCAAAAAGATCAGACTGAATGGAGGTACCGCACACATAAACAATTCTCAGTGTTGACTTACCTATGTATGACATAAACCAAAGTTCCTGTGTCGTTTCATCAATCAAATTACGAATACGATCACCAAGAACTATTAATGCTGAAACGGTCATTTGAACATCTCCCTAGAAACAAAGAAATCGTAAAAGAAAAGAATACCATAGAGGGCGCTATTACTAAGGTTATAGAATATAATTTGTTGCATAGCTATTCTAAAACTAGAACAGGGCACAGCTGAAAAATTAATATTGAGTAATATTAAAGTCACGTTAAAGAACTATGTATCTTGGTATTAGGTTTAGAGTTAGGTTGATATACAGTATAACTACCTATGCTTTTATCCTAATCCTAATATCAAGACACGTTAAATTAAATTTAAATTCATTATAAACTGTGATTAAATTGCATTGTATATAAGTTTTAAGTTTAATTAAATAGTAATTAAAATGTATATTTCTGTATACGAGTGTGATTTTACTGAGTTGAATTACTGGTAACTTTGATTTAATGTAATTTAACTAAATTTAAGTTAATTGTTGCACTTTTCATGGCGGATGTGTGAGTGTTGATTCACAGGTTCCAGATTTTATAAACCATCAAATCTACCTGACAGAAGCTGGATGAGATTACTTTATCACAATGTTGTTTTATAATATTCTGCTTGTATCTCCATTTCAGATAGAGCAGATAAGGTACAAATTAGAAATTTGGTTTTAATAGAGCACATACCAAACCATACACCTTTATTATAAGGATGCAATCCAGCATATACGCTATGTGTATTGGTAAGTGGTTGTCAGCCACCAATGTCTCACCTGTTCTGCATAGAAATGTAGCATGTCACGTATGATTTGCTTGAACTGCCATGGTTGAAGTGATGTTGAGATTACTGCCGACATCGGCATAGGATTTATATTATCAGATGTTGGGATTGATAAAAATTGGTTGTGTATACTCAGTGTCTCAGAATCATTACAGCTGCATGGAAAATTAAAAGAATTAAAAGAAATAAACAAACATTAGTAATACATTGCCAACAAATACATGCTAATGCATGGTGATTCACAATGACATGTGTTGTGCTGTTAATATGCAGAATTTTATTTTGGTTATAGCCAAGTATAAGTCTTGCACATTGTGACTAAAATAAAGCATTCAGTGGTGAGTTCTCACCTGGATGGAGATTCAGGTCTAACTTGCTGTAACTGGTCAGGTGACGGAGATCTGAAATGATATCGTGTTGGAGTTAAGAACAACAAAGATTACAGTGAGTACAGTAAGGATAACAGATTGAGAATAGTATAAAGTACAAATTCTGTTTCAAGTCTCTAAAGAAATGGGAAGGCTCCATGGCATAACATTTAATCCAATATTATAATTTAGACAAATTTGGCAGACAAAAATTCAAAAAGATCAAAATTTACCTAATTACCCATAAATGTGGTTAACTAAATACATGTATAAAATAGTATGATACTGTAAAATCTGTATTAGAAGTCGCAGTTTCTATTAAAATGGTATAATGCAGCAGAAGGGAAGTGGTTTCATTAGAGCATCAACACATATGAAAAATGGTGAATTTTTGGTTCTCAATTGTTCAAAAAGAACGGGTGCAACTTCTATTAGAGATATGGCTTCTAATACAGATTTTATGGTAAGTTCAAACATGTTTACGTAGAACAAGACTACATTACATAACAACGTTACTTTGGATACAGTCCATACCAAAAATGGTGTCAGGCTGGTGTACATGAGAAGAATATATTTTTGTACAAGTTTGATCTGACTCTAGCTGGCTATCCTTTTGAATGCCTTAATTATTTCGGCCAAAAATGTTCAAATTTTTTTTATAATTTTTCTTTAATTTCAGATCAAATAAAAATAACGTTTAAATATTAGCTACAAGGTCTAGATGAAAATTTTAGGAAAAAAAAGTTATGCAGGTTTATTCTGTGAAATGAGATACAAGTTGTCTTTGTCGTTCAAAAGTTTAACATTTAATTTGTAAACCACACCAAATTATTTGGCAATAGTTGAAAGGGTCAATATTACCTATCACGTATCTCGTGTCTTGGTTGGAATGCCTCTGTCGGTAGGTGCCAGTCCTCCGTAGTTTCGTTACCGGAATAGTCGTATCGGTACATGTCCAGGAGGTCATCTTCTCCATCTCCGAAAAATACTGAATGTGAGGCTATGTTGCTAGCCAGTGATGTCATAGCTCTGTCGTGTTCTACATCACTAGTTTCCGACTCTTCATTCTCACTTGTCAATCCAGTGGAATCTCCCATGTTGGTGTCAGTGCGCGATTCGTTCCTCATGAGCGGGACCTCTGTACCTGTAACAGCTGAGCAAAGTTCAACGATAAATCACACAAGCTGGCATGAAATTGGTGTATTATGTCTTCACAATGGCATAATGTCCCTACCAATGGCTGTCCAGGACATACTATTGGGCAGAAAAATATAATAAATGTCATACTTTCATAAAGTATGCCTTATGTGATTTCACAACACAATGCAGTTTTTAGGTGATTTGCAAACCATAATAAATATATATAAACGTACAGCAGTACATTTGGAGTTAGAAATAGAATTGTGTTGATTGGAACGAGGTTTCAAGCACTTTTTGACATGATTAATCTGAGTCCTACCTTGCGCATTTTTATCTAAAATTTAAATTATTATTTTTTTTTACCTTTATCTTCCTTATCTGATGTAGTAGGGATAGCAAAGAAAGTTGCTGATGTTGAACTTGACACATCAGGTGCAGACAGTAATTTTAACATCTTCCATGATTGACAAATCTGAGAGACAACATTTGAAACAGTGTTCATGATTGAGTTATTATGTGAGTTAATGTCATTTGCGTTATTATTATTTATTTACGTAACAATTTGTTTTATATTAGTGGTAAATATATGGATACTTCTTTCAAAGAATTAATAACTACGAAGTCATTCTTTCTAGTGGTACTGCCAAAAACACAAAGCTGAATTGAACAGAAACTTTTCAATATACCGGTAACTAGTCTTGTGAAAACCTGCAAAATATAACCATGATTTTTGTTATATAAAGTTCGGCATGAGTTTAGATCCTTATTTGTCCAAATATGATCTGTCTCACATGCAGATCAATATCTATGCCAATTGTATTTTTAGTTAGATCTCGTAGTCATGACAAAAACTATTTATAAATGATTTCCTGAATAGAGACAATTAACCAGAACCATATCATAATAGGAGACTGTAGTGACTGCTGTATTGTTGTGCCCTTTGACCTAGACTTGTCTTGTAATTAATTAATTATGCAGGCATGCTCAGTAGCACCTAGCAACCAGGAATACAATCATCATTTTGGTTAAATGAACAAACCAGTTTTTCACCTCAGATAAACTGTCTCATAATGATTCTTTAAGAACACTACAGAGACAAAAGTGGTGAAATGGCTTATAGATGTTACTTGGACTTACCTGGTGTCTCCCAAAATTCTCTGCTACCTGAGCATTGTGGTCACACAGCTCGCCAAATGGTCGATCAGATAACTTATATTTCATAGCACTTAGACAGAACCAATCAGAAAACTACAATAACACAACACAAAAATCAGTTAGCTGAATGCAAATACTAGATACATCAACACTCTAGGATTGGTAATCTTCTTGTAGCCAAATATACATGCAAGTGAGAAACACATGCACATGGGGAAATGAAATTGAACAATGGCAAAGTTCATTCTCACATGGAAACAGTTTTAGACATGTACTCTGCAATAAACTTGAACTACAAATCGCATAGCCATCACATTTTGATAAGGCAATCAATTTTTTGGGGAAAAAAAGAAAAAGATGTGAAATAATTAAGTAATAAAATGTTAGTAAGACCAACTACACAATGAGAAACAAGTTAACTTTTTTAAGGTAATGTAAAAGCATCAGACTCAGCATCTGTTAATTATTTTATAGTTTTTGTGTTTTTTTACTTAGTACATTGCCTGCTGGCACTGTTTTTTTTTTCTCAGTCACTTTGGCTACCCCTTGAGGGTTTCAGCAGACAATGTTTTAAAGTGTAATGTGTACACAGTCATTAAGAAACTTGTATGATGGAAATATACCAACCCTAGATTGCTTATTTGTAAATACATATACATTGCTGCAGACAGCTCGAGTCTGCTCTTCTGGTTCTGGATTCTTTCTAAAGAATGATGGTACCTTAGTAGAGGAGTAACTAGCAGTTGTACCTCTGTTATGGCTACCACCACCCAAGTTATCACTCGCTGCGTGACAGACATCACCGAAAATGTTGATATCTACACCAACAGGATTCTGAAAATAATACAAAAAAATTTAATTGATGTAAGATTTCTACACATTGGATCATCTTCAAATCGAATTAGTTTACCACAGTAATGATGACATCACATCTGCCGAATATTAATACGAACTATTTGATTATTTGTTCAGTTTTAATTTTTCGATTTTTGATATTAAGTGAAATAATAATAGAACCCATTGTTTCCTTGGCAAATTCATAAACTTAAAACCAAGTGAATATGCTCGAAACTAAATTCAGTGAAAATAAATGTTTTTACAGTAGAATGATAACACATCTCAGGGTTCTTCCACAGAGAGGAACAGGGGGGCAGCTTGAGCCCTCTTACTGAACCTGGAACAGTCAGTAGATTATGAACAGTGTTACAAATGGTAACAACGGTGTGCTCCCTCTTAAATTTTTTTTCTAAAATAACCCCTGCATCTTACGGAAAAAAAAATCCTGTTTCATTAAATTCAGATTTTATAATTACAAAACACAAATTGTTGATATAATTTTAAACTTATTTCAATTAAAATTTTCAACTGTTATTAAAAAATCTTACAGCTTTATCTCCTGGGCGCTTGGCATCTCTGAAAACATGTTGGTATAGTGTACAGTCCTTGGAAGCAGATAAAAATATATGTGGATCATGTCTCCATACAACACCTTGGCAGAGAAAATAAACATGGAATTATAGAGAAATAGGATCTACATCACATAGTCTAGGAAGCCATTGTTTTTATTTCAAATATGTAGACACCTGTTTGATTTCGCTCTCAAATAATTGCAGAATGGCATGAATAAATATAATATATGCACATTACATGGCCAATTGAAATGAATATATTACACACATTACATGGCCAATTGAAATGACTATATACCCCCCCCCCCCCACATACATGTATGCACATTACATGGCCAAATAATATACATACGTAATGCAAATTATATGTAAAACCAATTTAGATACATATGCATGTTACATGGCCAACAGATATGAATACATATGCACATTATATGAACAGCAAATATGCATACGGTACATATGAACAGTGCATGATTGACCAATATAAATACATAATTATCCACATTACATGGCCAATCAATATGCATATATCCCATTACTTACCTGTGGCAACATCTTTATGCTCTTCAAATGTAGCAAACGGAATATATGGCCTCCTGATATCCCATACATTAATGGTGTGATCTATCACCAAAGAACAACTAGATATGTGAAATTTCCGCTGCGGTCTCCATTTTACCCGCGTGACAGGTGCAATTGTCTGCACTGTGTGCATCAAGACAGGCTTGAACTGTAGATCCCATATCTGTGAAATGAAACAAATATTGTCAGATTTATCATACTAGTTCTTGTTTCAATGTGAAATACTCAAGAACATGTAGAACATTTGCATAATAAATTAGCTAATTGTTATGCACAGAAGTATACTATAAATGAAATACCCATCAATCAATCCTGCAAGCCACTCAACTAATTGTTCAGTGATTTTCAAAAATATACTGTAATAGGAGTTTTGTGTAATATCAATCTGATGGAAAGCTGATATAGGTTGTTTTTTTAATATACATCACAGGTTTATCGCCACCGATGTACATGCCTCATATTAAATACATCAGATCAAAATCATGTTGTCTTGCATGACCAATCAGAATTTGTATTACAGGCCAGTTTCTAAAATGACAGCCTTATTTTAGGTAAGGCATGCTTTCATTGGCTGACAGCCGCTAAAGACAATTTGCATAGGTACCGGTAGTTGGTCAAATGGAATATATGTTATAGAGGCATTGTACATTAGTGACCATAAACCAGTGATTGTGTATTTAAAGTGGCAAGGCCTTTATCTACATCAGATTTATCTTCTAAACATGGAATATGGTTTCTGGGGAAGTGCCTAGTGTGAATAAAAGAACTAATGCAACAACTGTTGTGCATTATGTCATCATAACAATATAACGATCCACACCAGTCTACTCTCCATACCTTTATCGATTTATCTCGACCAGCTGTGGCTAACCATTGTCTTTCTTCAGGATGCCCATCTAAACTAAATGCTGGACCATTGTGTGCGGTGAACTGCTGGTAAAATTTATCAGCTCTTCGGATATCCCAAAGCTGAATAATAAAAATATATAAATAACTATTGAATACAAATAATTTATGAAGAAGGAAATTGATAATAACACTTTTTAACTAAATATGTTAAATTGTGTCGGGTTTAAAATTAGAGATTTTTATCATTATGAGTTTAAAATATCAGATTGTGGAAAATGAAAAACGTTTGGGTCATCAGACAAGTCTCAAATCTCAAGGGACAGGGTCAAAATTGGCATTATGGTGGGATTTTTAGTGACATGGGATGGAAAAGTCACATATATTTATTATTAATATGCATCCTAATATTTTGAAAACAATAACAAAAATTACACATTATTTAGTAAGATGCCTGGTGATAATAGTTTTCCATTATATACCACAGGAGATTATCTCCCATAATGCCTTGCATATATGTGTGAGGTACTAGTACCATGCGCAGTGGAGCAAAATTTCAATTTGACTCAAACTGCCTTAACAGCCAGGATGTAAATGTAAATGACTTATGCTCCAAGCATCGACAGAGTTTGCCAAAACTTGACCTCAATCAACATGTGATATTCAGGAAAGAGAGAGGGGGAGGGCACTTTTTCTACTTTGATACAATGGCAAGTATATCTCCAATTTATTATACAACTTTTAGTACAGGTTTAAGGAAGATGGATATTTTACAAAATAAAAAAGCCACTGTTCATGTTTCTGTTGACTCTTTATAATACAATGTATTATTAACTGACCCTTGACCTCACTGATCTCTACATCCTAGTACATTACTCTAAGTCAAGCTATGTAAAGCTGTGATATACAGTTACTATGTGATATATGGTTACTATGTGATATATGGTTACTATGTGATATATGGTTACTATGTGATATATGGTTACAGTGTGTAATGCTGATGACCCTAGATGACCCGACATCTCGGGCATATTATTGATACTATGGAATCTATTGAGATGTAATCTTTATTGACCCGATTAAATTGTGTATTGACTGACTTCGTCACAAGCGGTATCAATGCTTTATAAGTTAAGTGCAACTAACATGCGCAAAGAAGATGCCATTTCATGTAGTACATGGTTACATACATGGAAAAAATGAAAAATGATTTGTATAAGATAGTAACTTATGATTGTCAAGAATTATTGAGACATTCTAGTGATCAATAATTATTACTGCAAAAAAAAAAGTTGAAGACATGTCAAAATTATGCACAACTTATGAAATGAAAAATTGTGATAATTTGTTTCGCCTTATTGGGGTTGGATGCCCATGATCTGCCTTTATTGGTATAGTCACATGAATTTCAAGATAATTACAACATTACAAACACATATTTCTGGAAATGCTATGAGTTAGTGAATCTGTGAGAGAAATATTTATTAATTACTAAAATAAATAGTGTTTCTCATGGGTGTTTATTTCTAGTGTCTTATATGTCTAGTACGAGTATATATTACTGCAAGGTCAAATATGGGAGTTGTGTTTGATGTAGGAGATGATTTGTCTAACATTAGGCGAACACAAATGTTCATATCTGGACCATAATATGTTTCCTACATGCCTTTCATAACAATCACATACATCAGCAGTTAACAAAAATTAAGCCAAACTTTTGTAAGTGTGCTGCTATCTTGAATATAAGTGGTGTTCTCTGCATACAAGTGGCAACGGTTAATAAATGCTTGACTGAATTTAAAAATATGTTGGGATGTAGGCCTTTGAGCCATTTGATTCACATATGTGGCTTTCACACCAACCCAGGGATCAATATGCAGCTTCCCCAACCCCCCACTTGTGAATCACATAGGAGATATTCACACCAAATCCACCCGACCAACAGATCACATATGCGACTTTCACACCAAACGCACCCGACCCCCAGATCACATATGTGACTTTTACTTCAACCCCGACCCACAGATCACATATGCGACTTTCTCACCAACCCCACATATCACATATGCGACTTTCTTACCAACCCCACCCGACCCACAGATCACATATACGACATTCACACAAAACCCAGCTGACCCACAGATCACATATATGACTTTCTCACCAACCCCAGCCGACCCACAAATCACATATATAACTTTCACACCAAACCCAGCTGACCCACAGATCACATATGCGACTTTCACACCAAACTCAGTTGACCCACAGATCACATATGCGTCTTTTACAACAACCCCGACCCACAGATCACATATGCGACTTTTACAACAACCCCGACCCACAGATCACATATGCGACTTTCACACCAAACCCAGCCGACCCACGGATCACATATGTGACATTCACACCAAACCCACCCAACCCACTGGATCACATACCTGGATATTCCCATTTTCAAAAGCTGCTGCAAATGAAAAGTATTGGAACTGCATAAACTGCACATCACGAACACTCTCCGATTGACCATTAAAGGTAATGGTTGCCTCTTTCTTCCTTAGATCCTAAAATAAACACAACAGAAATATAAATTTCGTGGATTATATACTCTTGAGATGTACCTGTATTATTCTGTTGACAGTAACATTAAAATAAGCTTTATTAGGCTGATTAGAAAAACCAACTAAAAAAAGTGTCAGCCATCTCTAATAAGATTATCAAATAAATTCATACATGTGTTTGGATGTAATCAAATCCAGGTATGTGAGAGATATTGTTTTAAAAACAACACATTTGAAAATAAAGCAGCCATAGGTGTGAAATTTTAATCAGATCTGTCAAAATAAAATAATGAATATTACCAGTAAGTTCTTACCACATCAAGTCTAAATGAAATCAACCTGTGTAATTTGATCAAGATCTGTGTCTAGAATAGCAGAATTGGGAATTATTTTTGAGGTGCATCATTATTCTTTAGCGCATTTCACAAATCATATGATTTGGGTAGTTCAATTTATTTTTGATTTTCCAAATTATGATCATTTTTTAATTCAATCTGGCTAAAATACAGTTAAAAATTTATTGAATGTTGAGGTTTGATGATGGTAAACCTATTGCAACTGCACAGGTTTACACTTGCAAGTCGTATAGCAGAAACAAAATGGCTGATGAAGAATAATGGAAGAAGCAATACATACAAAAATTTTCATAAGTCCATCTTGTGATCCACTAAGCAGCATGTCATCACGGGGATGGAAACACACTTTATTTACTGTTCTACGATGATCGTTGAAGACATGATCTTGTTTAAATCCTGATGCCTTGCCTAGATTCCATGTGATAACTGCACTATTTGTCGCAGCAGAGGCTAAAACGTTATCTAATGCAGATAAGAACATAGCGTAACTATTACAACCTTGTCCACTGAAAATTTTAATATTGGGTAACAAATAAGAATTCAGGATGGGATACAACCGAACAATGAACATACTCGATGAAAAAGAACAATGAGGTCATCGTAATTACATGAACAAATTAAATAATATAAGTATTAATCTCAATTTCCTTTATAGATTAATACATAAGCTGTATAATAGGTAGTATATACTGTGGAATACTTTATTTTCGCTGGAATTAATTTTCGCTGAAAAGGCTGTTTGGGCATTTTGTGTGGAATTTATTTTCACTGATTTTTGATGAGTTTAATGTGAAATACAGGAAAAAAAGTATATTCGCTGGATTTTATTTTCACGGAATCATCTCTTCATCGAAAATTAATTCCAAGCGAAAATAAAGTATTCTACAGTTGTACACCCGAGTATAGTATATATAGTATCAAAGCAAAATTTAGTGGGAATAGAACATGGCACAGCCCCTGTTAGCTATTAAATTTGATATATATATTTTTTTTTTATAGTAATATTGATTGAACAGAAACATGTCGGAGATATGGATCCAGAAGCTGATTCTTAATTATGATGATTTTTTAACATTAAAATGATTGACATTCAGTCATCTTGTATCTGAGTATACAAGTACTTGTCCGTATTATTGCTCTGAAACAGCATTTATTAAAAAACAATGTATGTACCAAGTTTGAACGAAATCAATCTGTAAACAGCCAAGATTTGGATCTAGAATGCCAGAAATTTTGATGATTATTCAGCACAAAAATGGCCGCCATTCAGCCATCTTGTATCAGATGGTGAAACAAATTGAAGGTGAAACAAATGTGTATAATATTATGTATGATGTATGTGTGAATGTGATGCACACACGCACAGAGGTCAATTCATAAGTCCCTGTTTTCGAATGGCTAATAAACAGGTCCTGGAGAGCATATATCACCAGTACTAACATCTGGTTCTGTCTTCACTTTTGTTTCTACATCCAACAAATTTCATAACATCACCATTCCACTTTTTTTTTGAGTAGTGACACTCTGGATTTGAACAAACAGTGTCCAGATTATGGATGCCTGGCCACTCTACTGAAGCTAAGCAGGTGATTTGTGATGAAATGTGACATGTAGTTCACTATGATACATATATCAGCTGAGATATCTAAAGGTCATTGGCCTACTGTCCTTCTATAAAAACGACATTATGTACCGATAAAACATGTATACTGTGAAAACTTACAATTCTCGTTATGGGCTGCAGAAAAAAACACCAAAAATTTACTATATAACATACTCTGCTGCTAAATGTAATTAATGTTTAGGGGCCTCATCAAGTTACGCGTCTTAGACTCTTACAATACCTCGGCCCTAAAACAGTAGAGTAGTCATATCATGATCAGTAAAAATACATAATAAATAGCGATGTAGATGATGACTTACCATCATTGGGGTGCCATACTACATCCACGCTACTATAATTTAGATTCTTTTTACCAACACGTAAATTAGCTCTCTCAACAAACTCTTCATCTTCGATGCAGAAAATCTTGAACACTAACCAAAAATTAAAAAAATAAATTAATATAGGATTGAATAACAAAGATGTGTTTATACATTTCACTTGTGAGAATTACCCAATAATAAAACATCCTCTGCATACGTTAATAAATCTCCATGCAATAAAATCATTTTTTTTTTATGTGATGATTCAATATGTCCCAGATGTAGTACTCACATCAAATTTGATCAATTAAAGCGTGGTGGTCGTCGTGCGGCGCGTGTTTGAATTCCATGTAAATAAACATAATTCCTCTCTGATACATGCAAGGTACATGCTATGCAACAATTTCATAATCAATAATTTCAGTAGTGTGTGTGTGTGTGTGTGTGTAGATGGGTGAGCCATTGGAGATGTGAATAACACTTGTAAAAATAATTGTGTAGGTACATTAAGGGTATATTTAGACAAGGCATGTTGCATGATTTTCACATATATGAGTGAAATTTGCAATCAATTAGAGATTTCTATTAGAATCTTCTTAAAAAAAATCCAGTTTCAGTTCCCTAGTTCAAATAAGTATTTATTACTCATAACAACCTACTGAAGAAAATTACAGATGACAATTTAATAATCAAATTACAATGGCTAATAGTTTAAAGGACAACCAAAAACAGACTAAATTGAAGTTAGTAACGGAAATATATAATAAAATAAAATGAAACAACGACAAAAAACTATAAACTGAATATAAAAACAAAAACCCAATGAACACATAATAGATATAAATAAAAATAAAAAGTCGATGACTAAGTAGGTGCTGCTATCTAATAACAAAGCTGTATTTCAGATATTGTGCCAGGGGAATTGTAAAGTTATTATTTGACATTATTTTAAATGAATTTATTTTCAGGTGTAAGATTTGTAAAGTCAGGAATAATCTTTTCAGCTTCATTGTATAAAATGACCCTCTCTTTACTATATACTGGGCATATTATGGGGAAGTGATGTTCATCTTCAATATCATTTTTATTACACAATTTGCAGATTCTGTCGCTACTTTTGATTCTGTTGTGTATTCCACTTTAAATTTTTAAACTGTGATTGCTAAGTCTGAATTTAGTTAGGGTACTTTTCAGTTCTTTATTTTTTAGCTTAATTAAGTAGTTTTCCAAAATGAAGTTTGTTTTAAATTTGTTGTATGTCCTCAGTTTGTTTTTTGTATTATTTGTATTTTGTTTTTTCACCATTAATTGAGTTAATCCAATGCTTTATAAATATATTTTTTATTTTATCATATATCTGTGACAATTGTGACGATTTTAATTCATTATTGTTAATATCTGATAGTGTTGTATTTGTAGATTTCAGTACTGAGTTAAGTTCATTGTACCACTTACTTTTAACTTCCTTAATAATAGGGTTTTTCATTTTGTTTAGGTGGTTTGTATATTTTATTAACTGCTTTTTAATAAATGAATTGATAGGATATCTACCCAACTCACTATAAATACCCTGTTTCGAAGTGTTTTTTGATTCACCTAGAATGAAGCGACAGAAGCTGAGGTGTACATCTTCTATAGTAGAGTTGAATGAACTTTCTTCAGCCCAGACTCCACATCCATATGTAAGAATTGGTCTTATTAGTTTATCAAACAATGATAACAATAGTGAGGGACTGAGGCTTTCATTATGACCTAATTTGGCTTTCGAAGAGAATAATGCTTTCATTCCTTTGTATTTCAGATGTTTCATAGCAGCTTTAAATTTTCTATTAGGAATGAGAACAATACCTAAATAATTATAATTTCTCTCGATGTTAATCTCATTCCCTTCAAAAAAGAATGTCATAGAGTTTATTATTTTTATTAAAAACCATAATTTTTGTTTTTTTCTGTGTTCACAGCGAGTTTTCATTTCTGTGTGTATTTTGAGACATTATCAAGGGCATTCTGGAGGCCACTTTTGGATTTAGAAAGAATAACTATATCATCTGCATACATTAGACAGCTGATTGGTGTGTTATTTAAATTTGGTAGATCACATGATTCATGGTCCAGGGTATTAGTTATGTCATTAATAAAAATGTTAAAGAGTGAAGGGCTCAGATTACACCCTAGTACACCTGTCCAACATAATGTGTTCATGGTGCACTCTCAAGATGATTCACTATGCCTGTGTATTGAGGTAAGAGTTTTGTTTCAGTTCCACACTGTATGTAAAAAGTAGTGTTAAATTATATTCATCAGAATATGCTAGAGCTACAAAGAATAATTGACAATTTGTTATTCACTACACGGGATATTCAACGAACGCAAACAATATTTAGGGGATACTTTTTATGCTTCATAATGATTATGTGCTATACACATTTGATGACAGTCAATTTTGATGCAGTAAAAATACCTCAGTGGCATATTTCCCTCGCAAAGATCAATGTTTCAACATTGAACTATAAAAAAAAATTTAAGTTGAAAATCAAATCATTCGATTCTAGTGCAATATGTAAGATCCTGAGATGAACAGAAAATCCCCTATTGTAACCCCATTTTTTAATGTTGGGTTCCCAAGTGTACACTTTTTTCTTTGCAACAATGCATACAGATAATAGGTACATGGCAAGTAAGACGGAACCCTGCATCTATTTCTTTAGGATATGAAAGTGAAAGTAAATACAGTAACTGCCTAATATTTTTTACAAAGCTGGAGATGATATTTTTTTTAAATTGCTTACAGCAACTCCACTGGTCTGAAATCCTTATAGCCATAATCATTAAATCAAGTTTAAATTCAACTTACAAGTTCTACCAGCGATGACAACTTGTGATGCATCTCTACAGATGCTGAGTGTGTTGGCAGGGGTTTCCAACTCAATGTGCATCGTCCGGCCCATGCTGGTAGTAACTGAAACAAAATCAAATAATATTATAATATTTAAAATCATTAACAAGAAAGATTTTAATATATGTGTGTATTTCTCATACTCTGGGATATGTCACTTGTATATACCGGGGTAGGTGCGCTGATGTTATACACACGTTAAAAATGTTACATCTATAAATAACAATACAATGTAATAAGTTGCTCACAGCTTAGTTGGGTTTTTGGCTTTCGTATTGCCGCTGAACCCAATGTCTCCCATTCTGAACCAAACAGTCCTGACATCGTTTAGTTTTTAAGTCCTATGCCACATTCACTTCCGCAGGCAGACTGAGTGCCAACAAGCTCACAGTGACCTTTACCTGTCAGTTGATGGGCAGACCACTATGCAAGAGGGGTGTTTTACAAGAGTCTGCAATGCACTACTATGTGTTATTTCTTAATTTCGTTATTACAAATATATAAAATGTTTTATTTTGTTATTTTTTTTTACATTTTCTATTGTTTACCAGTGTTTATTAGATACAAGGCCAGGTGATTTTAACAAATTACATTTTTTCACTGCAGTTAAGCAGTCCAATGAAGATTATGCAACTGAAGAATACTAGCAGGCCTGTTTAACTATTCAGATATAAATACAACTTCCCATAAAACATAATGAATGTTATTTTAATGGTGACCTTAACGTAAGAGTTCATGAACTCTTGTGGTATGACCCCATGCACGGGCACAGCGTGGAGCGCAGCTGTGTATCTATGTATTCCTATTCAATCATTAAACCATCAACATGTGGGATATTAGTGTGATCAATTTAACCAATAAAATGCGATCGCGGGAACTCGATCGACCTTATCGAACTTGATCCCACTTGGAATTTCATCGCCAAATTCTGTTTTGTTTTTTTCTCATAAAAATGTATAAAAACACAAAGCAAGCTCACCCCAATCGTGAATATCGGCCTGCGCCGCCTTCGATATTACTGTAGACTGCATATCAATAATTTTAAAATGTACACAGTCATTATAGAATATTCAATATTTTCTAAGCATAGCTAGCAAGCATTTGAGATCCGCATTTGCACGCATAGATCTATATCAGCTGTAGCAAAACTTGTGTTTTACGTCACAATAATATGTGTATGTATCCCATGATTCAAGTGTATTTGTAAATGGTTGATTCCCGGTGGTCTTGCAAAATTGCTCCCACTTTTCGAATAATTATCCGCTTTCATCGACTCTAAAAGACAAATTTAGTACCAAAATCTGCCACATCCTTACGCTATATAGATAACTTGTAACAACAGAGAAATTTTTGGTCGATATAATCAGTAAAAATAACGTAATTTCGCTCTGTTTAGTGGATACCACTTGTCTGGCAAAATGGCGGAAGAGTTTAACTTGATGACGTAGTCCCGTTATTGTGCAGGATAATTTCCAAGCACATGTTAGCAGTGTGTTAGTGTCGGTTGTGTTGTAAAACTGAATCGGTCATTTCTACGAGACTAAAGTCTGAAAGATATATCCTCACAGTCTGTATGCAATGACCGAATGTTTGATTGAAAGACGTTTATTGGGGTAGCCGGCTGTCGTTACACGATTCGCCGACCGGTGCTCGGGTTCGGTCGGAACAGTCTACAGGTACTGCTCAACTAAAGAAACAGTTCTGGCAGAAGATCGGGACCTGTGAGTACTTTTAGTTTCAAAAGATTTGTGCACTTTCAGTGTGTCATTGTTCTGTAAAAGCAGTAATTTACATTGCTATTTTTCACTATTTTGACATTTTGAGCATATTCACAGAGTTTTAAAAACAAGTAATTTATATTGTTTTACATGTTTGCGTGGATTTAATTCATCTGTAGTGAAACTAAAACACTGAACAACTGATGTGTTTACAGTATTGGTTTATTGCAATATTTTATTTTTGTGTTTAGAGCCAATAGAAAGATGCCAAGTTCGAAGAATCGAAGGAAGAGAAGTCAAAGTCGAGGTCAAACTCCAAGTGCCAAGAGCAGGCATAGTAGCCAGAAACGTCGTGATCACAAAGAAAGAAGGGAGCGAAAGGAGCCTGATAGTTCTCAATCTGGGTCTTCATCAAAGCACAGATCGTCAAAGGAGCATGGATCAAGCAAATCAGAACATGGACACCGAAAACACAAAAAGTCGTCAAGACATAAACGCAGTCAAAAACACAAACGGTTGAAGGATCAAGACGATAGAAAAAAGCAAGACAAAGTTAAGCCACTAGTCGAGTATGATTTAATTAGTAGCGATTCAGAGGACTTTTCTGTGGTTGATGGTGGAAGCTCTTCCCCTGCTAATAGATCTCGCGTAACCTCAGATTCTGATAAACGACCAAGTAGTCGTGATGCATCTCCTGCCACTGCTCTTAATATTTACCGTAATGAAAACCTGCATGATAGAAACTCTCCAATGAGAATGCAGCATGGGGAAGGATCGTCTTATTCAGGGAGAAATCGCAACATCAGGACTCGGAGCTCAACTCCAGAGCCCCCTCGAGCATACAGACAGAGAACTCCAAGTCCTCCAATGCGGCGAGTTGATATTAGGAGACGAGTATCACCAATACCCAGACGAAATGCATCGCCAGTTTATAGACGAACACCACCTAGTCCCAGGTATAGGCGCACTCCAAGTCCTCGATACCGGAGGAGTCCAAGTCCACGATATCGTGAACGGCGAACACCAAGTCCAAGGTACAGACGAACACCAAGTCCGATTTCATACAACAGATCTAGAAGTCCATACAGGCGTGGAAGATCACCAAGTAGAAGTCCTACTTACAGGTATATTTTATATGTATATTTCTGAAGAAATTAGTATAGTTGTCTACAGACCCAACATGCATACAAAAAGTATACTGTAAAATGACTAGGTTTAAATTTCACTGAATTAGCATTTCAGGCATATTCAGTGGGTTTTTAATTCACGGTTTCATCATTTAGATAATGTGTTCAATGCTCAATTTTACATATTCACTGGGTTTTAATTTAGCGCATTTTCCAGTCAACGAAATAAGCAAAATTAAAAACCAGTGAATAATTAACCCCTTTACAGTATATAAATCTGGGCTCAAAATATTAAGTTTTTCAGTAGTAGCCCAACTCAACTACCAAAATCATACATAGAATTAATTTTTTTGTAATTCGTAAATGTGTCAGTGACATAAATAACAAAAAAACATAAATGAGTTATTTGTTTTCATAGTAGTGTTTCATTTTATATATATATATATATATATTTGATTTTGTTTTTAATTTATTCGTGTTTCAGTAGGGCCAACTAAACAATACATTTACGATCCTTTCGACGTTCGGGAGTTTCGAGCGAGAGGTGTCGGGACAACCTGTAATGATTTTTTTTTTGTAAATATTTCTAGTGCTTATACCATGCCTTACAACATGCATTATTGACAGGTTATCATCACTATAGCAACAGAAGAAATCTTTTTGTGGAATTACAATAGTCATTATTTAGGCGTTTCTTTAGTAATATTTAATCTGTTTAGGTCTGTCAGCATTATTATATTACAATGATTATTTATTTTTCAGTCGGCGTCGTAGATCACGGTTTACCCGCAGTCGTAGTCGTTCACCATATGGCAGGTCACGGAGGTCGCACTCGCGTACCCGCAGTCGAAGTTCGTCACCTCGCAAGACGACACTTCTTAGATCTGGATTAGGAGCCGAGATTCATAAAAGGAAGAGAGCTGAGGCAAGTAGAACTAATAGCCCATTTGATATGAAAAAAGCAAAACCTAAAAAAACTTCCCCGACAAAATCTGCAAAGGGACAGAAGGCCAAAACAAAAGATGTGGTACCAGTAAAAGAGCTACCAGAGCCGGAAGTATATCAACAGATTCCAGTTGTGAATGAAATCCCAAATACCCATGTACCAGTATTACCTGAGGAACCAGTTGCAGCTCCACCACCAGCTATTGAGGCCCCTGCGCCACCCCCTTTACCCCCTCCACCGGAGAAACCACCACTGCCACCAGTGTCAACTTTGCCACCGCTTCCTCTACCACCCATGGGACCTGTGGATGATTACATGGAGGAAGAAGAGGATGAAATTGACACACCACCACCTAAAAAGAGGGCAAAGCAGTCTCCTGCTGCACCAACATTCAGAGAAGAATACCGCAGTCTCAAAGATCTGCCTATGCCACCACTACCTGGTGGTGGTGTTAGCAGTGGTTGTGGTGATAGTGACAGCACCCCAACTACACCAGCCAAAATGTTAACTCCAAGATTACTAAAGAAGAAAAGACCAAGGATACCATGGGCAGCATCTTGCGATTCCGGCTGGGGCGAGCGATGTGTGGATGTGTTTGACATAGTTAGCCAGATAGGGGAAGGAACCTACGGACAAGTTTACAAAGCAAAGGATAAGAAAACAGGTAATTACTTTCCAATGTGTTGGTTTACCTGAAATGTATAGAAGTAGATGTTATACCACAGCAATATTGTATATACCTTGGGTTAGTGTCATGACTAATCTGGCCTTTCTGCTCACTGCGCGATCTTAATTTTGTATGGATGGCACGAACCAAATGTCTGCCTCAAAAAATGAATGATTTGATTTTGTACTTGAATTTCTTTAAAATGCCAATCTTTCAGGGGAGAATATCACATTTGAATACCCTTGCCTTATCAAAATTGACCATCACATGTGTATAGCACATTAGACATGGAAATACCACCAAAATATATGTACTTATTGGTTTTATTACTAAATTCTCAAAGCTTGATGTTTAAAATTATTTATAGATCAAGCAGGCTTATAAATATCTCTGCTTAGAAGATAGAAGTTAGATAAATAAACAAGCTTGCATGTATTGTCTTCTCAGGTGAACTGGTTGCTTTGAAGAAAGTACGTACAGACAATGAGAAAGAAGGGTTCCCTATCACTGCTGTCCGTGAAATAAAAATTCTTCGTCAACTCAACCACGCCAACATAGTTTGCTTGAGAGAAATCGTGACTGATAAACAGGATGCAATGGACTTCAGGAAAGATAAAGGTAATTTCATTTGTATCTGTACTTTTAATCTTTTACGAGTGTTTGTTTATAGAATGCATGAGCTTACAAAGAGCTCTGTGCTAAAAATTTGATGATAGCTAATAGTGTATACCAGTATTACGATGCTCAGAACATTGTATGCTGTTTTTACTTGAATTGATTTAACAGCCACTTTAAGAAAACTGTTTGCTTGCAGAGTGGTGGAAGCAGTTCTGTGTACTTCATGTATCGCTAAAACTGTTTTGAGCTTTTATTGAACGAAAAAATTAAAGTATTACTTTGCGTAGAAAAGTTGAAGCTTCCCCAATTCTGCCTCCAATCGAACATAAAAATTGAATTTGATGATCAGGGGTTTTTCTAGAAAAAAAAACTACAAGAGGGAGCACTGCAATTCAGCGGAGCCACCAAGTGGGGGAGTTGGGGTTCTCGCTACCAGGGTGTTGAGTTTTTGATAATTCTAAGTTAAAATGGAGCATTCCATGGCTTCCTTTGGACCAAAATTACTATCAGACAGGTCATAGTTAAAGACTGGCCGCATATGATCCCTGGTCAATCAAATTTTATGGTTGCCAGAGAATCTGCTCCCCAGGGTAAGTGGGCGCATGGCCATGGCATGAGGGTGCTGCACCCCTGTTAAAAAAAAAATCCCTGATGATTCTCTTTTAGTTTTTATGCAGGCAAGGGGATTTTTATGTTTTTGCTCCTTGTAAATTAGACAGTATTTACTAGGACATAAACACTTAAAATGCAAAGCTAACTTTTGTCGTCTTTTCCAAATTAAGCCTACATAATCAGTTGACTGTTCTTCAGAAAATTGGATTAAGACCTGTAAGCAATGGAAAATTCTCTATTTTGTTCATAATTAAAGAAAATTACACAAAAATGTGCAAAAAATACTACATCAGCATTTTGGCGGGAATAAAAGAGTTTAACTATATTGGTATATAAATAATCAGTGCTATCATGTCTTACTTCAACAAGTAGGTCATTTGAGATAAAACCTATTTTCTGTCAAAATCTGTGCCTTCTGTAACACATTGATAGCCTTCATAGATGGTCAGAGATTGCTGATATCTATTGTATGAAAAAGATCCAGCAGGCAATGTGGTAATGAAAACATTTGTCAAGCTGTGTCAACTCAAAAATAAGTGGAGATAATTTGTGAATGGTTTAGTAAATTGTTAAATTTATTGAAAATTTTAAATAAAACTCAACAAGCATTTATAATTTGAAATGAATTATAAATACAAGAAAAAAATTTTCAATCAAAACAGATATGATAAAATTTACAAATTACTTTAATTATTCACTGAATTTTATTTTTGCTGATAGGTGAAATTCACAAAATTAATTCCTCATAAACAGATGACATACAGAACTTATAGATTCATGGATAATCAAAATACTTCAAGAGTGAAAATTAGTACTTTTTACAGTTTGAGAAATGTAATTTAGATTGAAAGTTGTTTGTGCATGATTAACAGGTGGTTTCCTTTATTTAACTTCACCCATATGGTTCTTAATTAAATAGTTGTCTCTAGAGTCAACATGTAGGCTCAATTTTGTAAATGATCTCACAGTCTGATCATTATCGCAATAATACATATACATGTACTTACGTACAGCAAAGTTCTTGTACGTTCACAGACCTTGCCTTGCTTTGGGGAAAATAACCTTGGACTAAAAATGGCTCTCCTAGGCACAATACCGTGATTTATTACAAAAGCTAATGCTATTAAAATATTTGATCTTTGGCTAGTGATCACAAGCATTAAAAAATAAGGTATTGCTCATGTGCCAAATGTGGATAATTCAATTGTTTTCTTAGATTATAAGTATACCATCAGTTTTTGATGAAAACAGTTTCGTTTCTAGAAAATAATGAAATAAATAAATAAATAATAAAGGGCATATGTTGTCCTTATTCTTGTATACACAAATATTAGTACAAACTATGCACATGTAGACAGCAAGAAGATCTTTTTTCTGTTTTTCAAAACTAGCTAGAAGAGATCAATATTTACAGCCATGGAGGCAATGACTAAAAAAAAAAATGCTGAAGTCAGCAGCAAAGTTATAGCCAGACAGTTGAGTCTTAAAAACTAAAATAATAAGAAATAGCAGTTGCTTGTCTATAGCCCCATAGACTTGGTCTATTTTTTGTTGATTATTAATAGTTATTTTGTAATTTACAGGGAATTTTCAATGAGAATTGGACAAGTTTGTAGAAATTTTGCTCGTCAAATAAAATTTGGTACTAGTCTAACTACCGGTAATCTACTAATGGAGTGCCTGTCTAAAATCACAGGCAGACTGGCTGGCAGGCAGGCAGGCAGGCAGGCAGGCAGGCAGGCTGGCTGGCTGGCTGGCTGGCTGGCTGGCTGGCTGGCAGGCAGGCAGGCTGGCTAAAAGCTTGGTCTGCAGTGTGATACTGTTAGATGGGATATTGCCTCTGGCTAAGTCAGTTAATAGTTAATTGACAGTGACTTAATTCTATTATTTTTTTCCAGGTGCTTTTTACTTAGTATTTGAATACATGGACCATGACTTGATGGGACTGCTAGAATCCGGGTTAGTCAACCTATCAGAGGATGATATACGATGTTTCATGAAACAACTGCTTGATGGACTCTGTTACTGCCACAAGAAGAATTTTTTACACAGGGATATCAAATGTTCTAATATATTACTTAATAATAAGGTACGTGATGATATAAACGGTTGGATTTTAAGAAACTTTTATCATCTTCCATGGCAATGTAACAATTTTTAATTTCGGTGTATTTGATGTTCGAATGATATTCACTAGGTTTTAAAATCACTGGATTGTGATAGAAATGCTGCAATTTTTATTTTTATTTAAATATTCAGTTTTAATTCAATGCATTTTATGAAATGGCGAAATAAAAGGAAATAAAACCTAGTTAATGATTGATGCATTTCCTGCTAAAAGCCTTTGCAGATAGCCAAAATGAAAGGAGAAAACAGTCATCAGGCGAAATATTAACCCACCAGTAAATGTATATGTGAAACTTATCTCAAGTCCATAAAAGAGTATGATTTAGCTCACTGTGCATTGTGCCAGCAAGTTGCTTAATGATTGACAAATAACAATGTTTTATTGGAATTTTATCAGAAAAGATGTGAAATATTCTAACCATATTTTAATTTTTTCTTGAGGGGTCGCTCTTTTTTTTCTTTATTTGTACCATGACCACCAACAAATTAATCCAACATTGTTATTTGCATCTGACTGATAATATACATGAACATTCGACCCTAATAAAGGTAGTTGAGTTCTACATGACCTAGAAGGCATGTTGATTCTAGGAAGAATTAAGTAATTTTTTGTGACTGTAAAAACTATAATTCTGCTCACTGTCAGAAGTTAACATGACTAAAAATTGCATTTATTGTCAGCTGGGTTCTTAAAATGTGGCTTATTTTGACCTTTGACCTCAGTTCTTTTTATGTATGTATGTATGTATGTATGTGCATGCATTGTCTAATGGAGCAAATACGGTATTGCTATTATTCGTACTAGACTGTCACATAAGTTATTCCTCCATTCATAATGTTTTTTGTGTTGTAAATCTTTCCAGGGCCAAATAAAACTTGGTGATTTTGGTTTAGCTCGTCTTTATCATGCTGAAGACAAGAGTAACCTTACACAAATAAAGTAATTACATTATGGTACAGGCCTCCTGAGTTACTGCTTGGTGAAGAAAGATATGGTCCATCTATTGATATATGGAGTTTTGGGTGAGTACATCCACGTTGTTACGTGCGAGATCTCATATTATGCGCAAAATAGAATATGAAAACTAGACAACGAAAGATCATATTGGTGTCAAAACATCATATGGGATTTGACAAACAGTAGACTTTCAGAACATGCTACTTGTGCATTATGGGAGTTCTTGCAGTGAGCTGAAAACTGCCATTTATCCCCAAACCCCACACATGTTCATTTAGAGAATGTTAGTAATGCCCAGCATGTATGTTGCTATAATTAGAATCCTTCCACTGTTTTTAAATTGTCTAGGCATCTAAAATTTTGAAATAGTAAATCCTAGATTCTATCCTCTGCTTAGAATAATACATGGACGCGATTCTGGGATAAAATTCATTGCATCTAATACCCCTGTTGGGGTTAATGGCCTATTTTCAAATTGCTGTAATGTGAGATTAGTTCAAAATCTTTATTTCTGGGAATGTGTGACTCTTTAAGCCTAATACTAAGGCACAATATTACTGAATGCAGGTACGCGCTTTGGTTAAATTTCTGCTAAAAATTAACCTGTCCCAAGCATTAATGGGTGTGTGGTGTAGAATACAGATAGCATTTTTCAACCCAATGCAAAAGAATTAAAACAAAGCTAAACATTTTTTGAATGAGAATATCAGAAGTTATTTAAAGAAAAATATGGTTGACTTTCTCCATATTTCTAGAATCAAGTCAAGTATATGTGTATTGGTATTATGTTTCTAGTCGCATATTTTCAGTGGCTCACATCTGACAGGGAAATCAAATAAATTCATAAAACATGATATGTCAATTAGATAAACATTAAGGACCTTATTGTAGATGAGTGGTGAAGTTAAAAAATGTTATAACTTAGTCTGACCTTTCTACCTGGTTACAAGGCTCATTATCTTGGTGGTGGTTAGTTTGTTCCCACCCTCTAGCAAAAACGTGGTCAGTAGACATGTTTTACAGTTTCCGTGGAAGGTTGATTTCTAGCTTGTGCAATTTTTGTGCTGGTTTTCCTGGTTCTTCATGTTTGGATAAGCTCTCAAATGTTTATGTGGCAAAATTATGCAGATGAAATTGGAAAGTTTTTACACCAGAGTGCACAAATTTCTGAGGTAACAGTAAACTTGAAACTTTTCTATTGAGTGTGAATAAAGGTATTTATTTGTATTTTACAGGTGTATTCTAGGGGAATTATTTACAAAGAAACCAATATTTCAAGCTAATCAAGAGATAGCACAGTTTGAGCTTATAAGCAGGACATGTGGAACACCGTGCCCAGCTGTGTGGCCTGATGTCATCAAGTTGCCATACTTCAATACTATTAAAGCAAAGAAACAGTATAGAAGAAGATTGCGAGAAGAATTCCAATTGTACGTAATTGGATACTCTTGTCAGTTCTTTTTTCAAAATATTTGAAGTCAGTATAGGGACATTGTAGAAGGAATTGGCGCCTGAATGGCAATGTCAATCTGACATCGGTGATGGTGCAAGTATACTGCTGGCTTATAAAAACTTTGTTTCTTAACTATTAATTAGTTAATATCCCAAATTTATCCCACGTGATATCCAGATCTGATCTGTTACACATGTATATACGCTATGATGATGAAGATAATTCAGCTATATCTGAAATATAAACCAAATTTTTACATAGTCTGCTGGCTCTAAAATTAATGGATCAGAAAAAACGTCTGTCAGTGTCTCCTGCCACATTTCAATACCTAGGACCATTTTCAGTGGTGTGTTGTCTTTGGCACTTTGTCTAAACATTCGAGAATTTGGATTATCCTAATTAGTGTATTTAATTTTAATGGTTGGAGCTAAATTTTACTGGTAGTGGTCCTAAGAATATTACAATGTCGCAACGGAAATAGCATTTTTGCTAATCAGTTTATTTTGGTGCTGGAGTTATAATTTTAGTCTGACCTGGTACTTTGTGTTCAGCTGAAAGAGATCTGCCATAATCTCATAGATGTTGTCAGTTCCTTAATCTTGTGTTGGGGTAGAATTTATATACAACTTAGTATCCAAATTTTACAAATCATCAAATCTTAAAGGGTGGTGATGATGTTCGTGCCACGATTAAAGGGCCCATGCACGATTTATAATGGACTCTAGGAAATGGATATCAGTTTCTTTCAAGTCTACCTGTTGTAAATTTACCTATCAAGTTTAGTTGTTTTCGTTTTTTTTTTTTTTTTTTGGCTTTTAGGTACCTACATTGCCCCAAATTGAATATGCATGTCTAAATATTATATCAGTGATTTTATGCCACAATTACCAATATAAATGGCTGCAAAGTCAAATAAACAAACCGGTAAATGCCAATAAATATTGATCAGTGACCTGCTCACCCGACATAGGGTTTTATGTATTTTTACGTATGTTATATATGTCACATGGAACCAGCATCAAACATGAAAATAGCACCTCCAGCCTATTAAACTGTTGAAATCTGATTTTTGCTATGCTTGTTTAATGTAATAAACATTCAGATTTTGTTTTCCTATTTTAGTATGCCTTCTGGTGCTTTAGATCTAATGGATAATATGTTGACATTAGATCCGTCAAAGAGAATTGCAGCAGATACGGCTTTAGACTGTAATTGGTTGAAAGCTTTGGATGCTAATAAGATGCGACCGCCAAGGTAATCTATTGACAAATACAGTAATAAACAACCACACACAAACGTGCATACATGTACACATACATTGTTGACTGATGTACATATTCAGCATTACTATGTCAGTAATTTCAACTTCAATCATAAAATATATTAATACTGATGCTGTATTCATAATCGTTGGTATGAAATTAGCACCGAAACATTTTCACTTATGTTGTGAGGGGGGGAAAAAGGTGTTTCTGACAATAACATTAAATTGCACTCAATTGAACCGTCACTTGTATGGTCACTCCTCAAAATCTGATTATATGAAAGAATCATGCAAAGTAGAAAATCAATCAGGACCTTTATTCATTAAAATTAGAGTTTGACATGTGACCTGATTGAAAATCAAAATTCATACTATACAAGTTTGTTTAGTAGGACTATGACGTGTTTGAGTACTGTAATAATACGAGAATGTATGTATTTGTGTACAGTCGTATCAAAGACTTTCTTTGTATGTGTATAATAATACTAAGAAATGAGACTTACTTGAATCAAGTACTGTTGTGGTGAATTTTAGTTTCATTAAGTTTTTAAAAGGACGTCACAATCGAACTTTAAGTCTCTACAATAGCACTATATCCTTCAAACCCATAGTTAAAAATAGAATGTGTAAATACTTTAATAGCGTTGGCAGAACGCCAGATGGTTACTAGTCGTCTATATTGATTATTTCAGAAATAGATTTAATACATTGTGTGTATCCAGGAATTTAAGTTAATCTAAAGTAACCTGTGCAATTCAAGAAGTGGTTGTTAAAATGTATGTTTTTTTACAACATTTGCAACCCATAATTTTCATACCTGTATGGCATACTAGTTGCTTGTTAGAAATCTGCCTACCTGGGACCAGGTAGACGGGCTTTAATATTGATCACACCGGCGTTTTCAGATTAATTTTAGGTTATTACGAAGATACCTCAAAGTATGCATGAAGACAGTACAGCGACAGTATCGGCCGACGCGCAGCAGAGGTAGATGCGATAGCGTACTGTCGGAGTGCATACTTTGAGATATCTTCATGATAACCTTATTATTATTGTACATCTTTTCTTACCAAGGATACATCATTCGAATGCTGAAATCCAAAAAGTTTAGAGCAGAATCAGCAAACCTCTTTGTTTGGAGTCCGGTCAAACCCTGGTGGCAGCCATGTTTGTTTTTATCATTAGAGAATGCTTATGCGCGCAATCATTCCATATTTGGAATTTGCATTTCCTAATATGGTAGGATGAAAGTACCCCATAAAATTACAACGCGCTATAACTTGTGGCGTTACGGTGACAGATGTATAATAATTATCTTTATTAGATGAAGACAAGGCATAAAGTGTATGATTGGCCACTATATCTTAGATCCATCATCCAAACAAATGATGTGCCATTGTCATTTCTGTCTTGAAATAAATTAAGAACATGGTTGTTTGTGTTTTTCATCGGGCATCTTTACGTTATGACACTTAACATGCATGGAATTTTTCAATTTTGTTTTAGTCTTCCAACGTGGCAAGATTGTCATGAACTTTGGAGCAAGAGAAGAAGAAGAAAAGGGACCTCTCAGCCCAGCGAAGAGGTTGTAAAACCCCCACCAGTGCCAGCAACAGGAGCACCACAAAAGTTACCACCTGATGCAAGCAAAGAAGCTGGTAAAGTGTGTGAGAATACCAGCAGTAGTGATGTGCCCACCGACAGCAAACCATCGTCACAGGTAGCAGGTGGCCCCAGCGTTAAAACTGAGACCTCACAGGTGCATAATGTCATTACCCTATTGCGATCTCAGCCAGGTTTAAACACAAGTCAATTGGCCCAGCTTTTAAATGTCCGAATGGATCCTAGTACTACACAGTTATTGGAGAATCTCAATATGCAGTTGTTATTGGCAGCGGCTGCTGCTCAGAGTCAATTGGATGGGGAGGGGATGGATTTGACTGCACAGGCAGCATTGAATGCATCTTTATTAGCAGTTTTAGCTAAAGCAAGTACTGCATTGTCGGCATCAACAAGGTTAAGTCAAGGTCAGGGTAAAGAACCAGTGCAACCTGGTACTGAGCAGCAGCAGCAGCAACAGCAGAAAGTTTCAGTTAGTGTCAGTAGTAGTCATGCAAGTAGTACTAGTTCATTGTCCCAGTTTACACAAAGTTTTGCTTCATTCCCTAGTGATAGTGCAACTATTAATACATCTGGTTCTTCTAGCCTTGAGGGAGTGAGAGTGCATACAGGTAATGTATCACAGGTTAGCACTCCTACTGGTGGCGGCGGTGGTGAGATATCAGCTAAAACAACTGATGGTGGTTATGGCAGGAGTTATTCTCAGCAAAGTAGTATGGAGCTTGACCCTGCTACACCTGTTGAAAGTGAACCAATAATTCATGTTGAACAGCCACCATCAAAGCAGGAAAATGCAAATGTTGAACAGTCACAGAATGAAAAGACTGTGCTTTTGCAACAACAACAAGGGCAGCAGCAGCAGCAGCAACCACCACCTCTGTATGAAGGTGTGAAGGCAGCTTTGGCCCAGATGCTAGCCCAACAAGCACAAGGAGCAGCACAAGTTCCGCCACAGAATGTAGCTCCTCCAACAACACAACCATCAGTAACATTACCAAAGCCACCAGAACCTCCAGCACCTGTATACAACCAGCAAGCATCTGGGTCTGTCAGCCAGGGAAGTTTATCTACCAATAGCAGAGGTGTGTCTAAGCAAGCAGTGGCACCCACAGTTGAAGATCCCACAAACATTCCCGGTGAAGATCCAAAAGCTAAAGGATTTAATGGCGGTAATGTAGCCAATACCAATGAACTCGGTGGCGTTCCTCTGCGTCTGAAAGTTCAAAAGTATATCAACCAACACCAGAAAGTTGCTCAAGAGCAGGCTGCAAATACACAGACAGATTTTCCAATTGGCAGGGGAATGGGTGTATTTAGAGGTAGGGCACGAGGACGAGGTCGGGGTGCTGAGGATAGAGGTAGAGGATCGGGGAATTTTCAGGCTGGACCCCTCTAGAATTGATTACGTGTATGATATTTAAGCTAGTTTGTACGGCTGAACAAAAGGACCAAGTTCACAATTTTTTTAAATATTTTGTTTTGCAATTACTCCTGTGAGCCACCATGGATATGCATGATTAGCAAGACATTTTATTAAGTGTAGTATTGTGTAAATAAAGGATCTACATATAAGAGATGTTCTCTCACTGCTAAGAAATAATCAGTGGGTACTGTTTTTGAAGAGAAAATGCCATTCACAATGAATACTAAATGCATAAGTTGCTGCTGGTTTTGACTTCTGAAAATAATGTGGAAATGTGGAGGTTAAACAAGCAATCTAAGCTCCTCATAATCATTTGTCCAGACATGGGATTCTGACAGATTAAGAAAAGTACATTTTCTATCAAGTGGATCTTCATTTGATGTGATCATTACAAATTTTGTTAAATTTAAAGTTGATAACTGGAGATAGATCCGTGGCACTGTTAATGTGAATAAAGGATGTACAGCTTTTTTTCTGCACTTTGCTATAAATTTCATCTTATCACAAACTAGCTTGTGTTGAAATAAGTAGGTGTCCTTTTTTGGCTACATTTACAACAGGATACATTTCAACAAATTTAGATTGTAAAAACTAAAAGTCTTGCCAAACAATCTAACATCCTGAACATCTTGCATGGTGACAGACTGATTTCAGTAAAATTGGCCAGAGTTATTTAAGCGTTTGAGCTCATTTCAATTGACATTGTATTCTTCTTAAATTTAACAAGATGTAACAAATATTGGTAAAGGTGCTTCAGAGTTGATTTCCAATGTATTAGAGGTTGTATTAAGATGAAATGAATTGTTAATTTGATAAGCATCATGAATATTGTTTTCTCATGATGTAGTGAATGTACTTTTTCAAGCTGCTTTGTGTGTCAAGTTGCTGAATTTAAATGTATTTTGATAAAGACTGTACATTATACTTGTCGAATCTGCACTGGTCAATTTCTCCAGTTCTGATGTTGTGAAACTTTGAATAATTGTACCAACAAATGTTCTATTTTTTGTCCTTCATGATGTTAATTTTGCTTTTTAAAAAGTAAAACCAGTTGTACTATGATCTCACTACATGCCCTGTCTCTTTCAACCGCTTTTCGCATGTCTGAAGATTGCGAGATTAGAGTGGGGTTATGTGTGACAACCCACGATAAGCATCAGATGTCACGCCCATAGCAGCAGCCAATCTGTCACCTTGCCTGCATGAGGAAATTTTACTGTATGCCGAGATGGAATAAAAATAGTGTTAACCTGGAGTATTATTCTGCATTTGGATCTTTACTGTGCGGATTGTTGGCAGCTATAACTATCAAAGACTGGACGGTAAGTGGCGATTCAGTCTTAAATGCATCCCCAATTACCATGGTCCTCACAAGTCAAAGGTAATGCTTAGGGTCCTACCTACCAAATATAATTTTCGAATTTCTCACATCAAATTGCCCTCTGATACAAGTAATACATAAACTGAAATTCTGTACAAAAAGGGTTCTTGCAAAGTGTTTCATGAAAGATGCCCTTTAAACTTAACTAGGGACAAAAATAAAATACGACTTGGAATTGTCTCAGCATATCTGATGATTTGAGTAATGTACGCAGGATGGTTTCAAACATTGAAAAGATTAATGGATATAACGTGATGCAAAAAAGTCTTATTTATTAGCTCATTAATTGCAGTGTTTTGCCTCCACTTAATGCAAATTCTAGAGAATTAGAATAATTTGTAGCAGTGAATGTTAACCAGGGAAAGTTTCAGTGACCGTTGTCCTCCCAAACACAATTTAATTAAAACTTGAAAATTCCCTGCATGGAAAACATTACAGTAGTATTACGCACGTTTCAATGGTACAAGATCTCATAAAATGAAAGTTTCCTGCCTAACTTTTCGGTTTGCTTAAACAAAAAATTGGTATTATTAATGTTCATAGCAACAAAGAATTGCACACAGTCAACAATAGATTAGTCTATTAATACAATAAGAGTTGAAAAATGGATGTTTACTGAAGGTAGCGCTTTCATAATTAATAATCTCAGAATACACAATTTAACCCAGCATGCACTTGTAATGTTAAAAGTAAAACTTGCGAATAATAAGCAATACAGATCTTTGTTCTTTTTAATATCTATTCGTAAAATGTAATTGTACATTGCATTGGGTCTGATTCGTTTCCAGAAATACCCGCATGTTGTGCAGAGTCAACACCATTTTGGCTCACTTCATAATTCAGGTTTTACTTGGCAAGGATCCCTAGCCCAGAGGTTTTAAAGTTGACAGATGTGCATGTTAAAAAAAACCTAGGAATAATTAAACAGCATATAAAATTACTTTCGAAAACGTCCAGACTAAATCTCTCAATTGGAGAGAGTTGCAGTGATATCGGCTAATAGTATGCATCTCGTTATTGCACACCCAAAGTACTTTGTTAAAATTGTCTTTATAGACAAGTGGTCTTTGGATAAAGATTGAATTATTTTTGTTATGGATCACTATATTGTGATCACTGTTTCAAGAAAACACATTTGAGTTCATCTAACAATTATTTAACGGAATGCTAAACAAGGGCGAATCTGCAAAAATGGATTGTCATACAAGCCAGTAGTCTTTATACACAAGTTACTGATACGTTCTGCTTTGAGACTAAGAGAATTTGCAAACTCATTCTTGTGCAGAAATGAATTTAGAAAAACAACTACTCGATAGTGTCCATTTCGATGAGTTTTGAAGTGATACTATATGCCCACATTAATGATATGATTCCCCAAGATAGAATAAATTACTTAAAAAAAATAAAGTATTTTCTAGTACCACAAAGCAAATATTGTTTTGACCATGGAAATACTTCAGTAATCTATACAAGTGTATACATTATTAGAGCCAATTAGTCTAAAAGACAATTGTTGCACTCAAGATGCTTTTGCAGGTTGCCATGTCCATTATCTTTGCACATGATTTAGCCAAAATGTATAATTTTCTTCTGACTTTTCAAACGTAAGATGAGCAGAAAGACTTGTCAGAATTGGACAGTTGACATATCAGAACTTTATTTAGAATTGAAAGAGGTGCCATTCAAAATGGAAATGTCCAGATTACTAAGTGTCAAATTGCTACAGCAGGACGTTTTGTAGCCTTGGTTACCATTCTATTTTGAGAGCCCTTGTAGCAGTCTGGAAGGTCTAAACAGTTGATGGATGATGTTAATTAGCTGATAAAAATAGCACACTGCTAATCTTAATACATGTATACTAATTTTCTGAACAATTGTACATTCTCTGCTCTCACTTATCAGCTAAGTATGTGGCTGCCCCATTTGTGACATTGGAATAAATTTATATGGTTATTGAGGTAAATTTTCAATAATACGAGGACACCCACAAAATAGGAACTTAAACAGCCCACTGATCTGATTGTAAAATTAACTATACCCAGTACTAAAAATAGTTAATAATTTTGTGTCAAATCTATTTGGGTAAAAACAACTGATGTACCAAACTTTTATTTTGTTAGAAGTTGGCAATTGTGACCATTTGTATAAAACAAATTAAAATGTGTGAAATAATGTGATAGGGGTTTAGCGCGAGTCTTGCAACTTTTTATGGTTAACTGGAATATGGTCATTGGTTAGGTGCTCTCTTCCCATTGCAACTGTATTTAAAGTTGAAATTACCATTCAAATGTCTAGCAAATAAAATTAAGTTCTATCTACCAACCAACCAACCATTTCTATTTTCAATGTTACCAGTCCAAGCCTTGCAAGATGTGCGTTGATATAAATTGCCGAATCAATTACCAGCATTTGGATGTGCTGAAAGTCGTGGATATATTAATGTTTCAGTACTTTCTGGAATTTGCATAAATTCAAACCTCAAGGTGTCTGCCCCAGCTTGAAGCAGACTACAACACCTTTCAAAACTGGTACGCATGCATGAAAAGTACTCCCATGGTCTGCACGTGTACAAGTCTCATAAGGCAATGTATACATTGGTAATTAAAGGGCCATATACTGCAACGTAGGATATTAAATAGGTATGCTAGTTACTAGAATAATCTGTGGCAAACGTATGCAGCCAATAAGCCACCAGTTTACTGTAAACTCGTGTTTCAATTTTTCTGAGGAAAATCCACTCGACATGGAAATTGCCATAGAAGTTTTCTTTATAAATGCATGAAATTAAAACCAAAGTGCATATTATCAAAATAGTAAAATGTATGATAACGCCAATCTGTGCACATGGTGAATCATTTTCATAATAAGTGTGCATCACAACAAACTTGATGCAAGATTGGTTTCATGCATGTTCAATAAAAATTTAAACAAAAAAAAAGAAGTTGTAGTCATTTCAGCCTGCCAATGAACTTAAAGGTTAGATAATGTTTTGTAATAACAAAGTTTTGCATCTGTCAAGTTGGGAGCAAACATGGCCATAATTTTGACAGCCATGCTCAGTCCAGACATCAGTATTGTTTCTATTATAAAATGAATGAAAGTAGCTAGGACCAATTAATATATAGTAAGTAGTAAGTAATTTATTAAAGTGACCTGCAGTTTAGAGAACTGTCCAGCCCAGTGGACTTATAAGTCACCTTAAATAACTATTACATTCACAAATAAAGGTTATGAAAGAGAGCTTGAAATAATATATCGACAATACAATCGTGTAGTTCATAAAAATTCAGACGTACAACAAATTTCTTCTTTTGTAAAAGGCCTTTTCTATAAAAAGAGCAAGTTTTAAAGTATGTATATATATAGAAAATAGTAATCATAGTCATTTGGACAAAAAAAAGTATTCTTTGTAGATGATAGATGTGAATAATGAAATTATTTAAATTGTGGATGGGCAATGATGCAAAGTGCAAGGCTTTTGAAAGAATTACAAAACTTGTTTTCATAAGGAACTAACCTTACTAAAACAACTAAAAATCAGATTGAAGCTCCTAACAAGATCTGTGTAGTTCCAAAACAGAACTTGATTCTTCACATATTTAGATAAAATTGAAAACAAAAAAAATGTTAATTCTGAAACGACCTTTATGAGTGACAATTTAAACAAAATAAAGATTGAATACTGTATAAGAAATATTCACTAGGACTTTGGTCTTGACTTTTGAGCATTATAGACTAGCCCCTTCCACCTTGTTCTTCAAACCTCTCCCCCCACATTTTGGATGAGTGAGCTTAGAGATATGAATACAATTTTGGGTATAGCATTCTATTAAGAACATTTGTCAATGGACTAATCTATTTTCCTTCTGGGTGACTACTGCTTATACTGTACTGGAATTTAAATGGCTATTTCTCTATCAAATTCACTGTCTTTTGAATCTTTCTGCAATATACATAATGTCTACTGGATGCTTCATAATCAGTTGTAAAAGCGCCCTCATAGGCAGGAGTTCTGAACATTTGTTTTTTTTTCTACATGCCATTGAAGTGGAGAATTCATTCAAAAACCCATTACATTTCTGAACAATTGTATTTTGACCATTCACTAACAAACTTCAGTGACAATTATAATTGCCACTAGTTTTAACCTATCCACTTCTGAATAATGACATATCAAATTAGAGATCTTTCTCTTAATTGTGTTTTAATATGATGCATTGTAAAAAGGGATTGGAATAAAGTAGAGTAGCACATGTTGGCCATAAGATGATGTGGATTCATGAAAGAATGGGTGTGGCATAGAATACAGATAAAAAGCGCATTGTACCAGTTTATTGGCATTTCAGTTATACATCTGTCACCGTAACCCATACAGTGTGCCATAATTTTTGGGTATTTCCATCCTACCACATAGGAAATCTGAATATCAAAAGTGGAACTATTACGCGCATAAGCATCTAAAAATAAAAACAATCATGACTGCCACCAGGGTTTTTTTGGACTCCACACAAAGAAATTCGCTGCTTCTGTTCTAAACTTTTTGGATTTTGACATTCCCATGGAAGGAAAAGATGTATAATAGTAATAAGGTTATTACGAGGATACAGTATGCAGTCAGACAGTACACTGTTGCAACGACCTCCGCTGTGCTTCTGTCGATACTGTCTTTGTGCATACTTTGGGGTATCCTCGTGATAACCTTATATATCACTCGTAAGTGCCGAAACATGTGACCTATATGTCTACAAGGTCTTAGTAGAGAGTTACTTTGTGGAGGGGGGGTCTGTAATAGTCAAATTTCAATCTGGACTCGAGATGCCCCCCCCCCCTAACTGGATGAATATGCAGATCACACAATTTGACATTTAACTTGTAAATGAATCTAACCTGTTATTTTTAAATCACTTTCTTGTTAATTGGACTTGACTTGTATTGATGCTCATGTCTAATATAGTCTCCATGCAACATAGTTTCAAGTGCATACATGTTCTAAAGACATCGGAGAAAAATGTTCTCACAATAATGTAGCAAATTAAAAATGTAGAAAGGAATTGTGATGAAACTAGTACGTTTTGATAGTAAGCATTTAAGACTAAGCCAATTTATAACAATGAATGAAATTTGGCATTTGTAGATACTGTTTTTGCAATGTATATAATATGATTAAAGGATAATATGTTGCGTCTCAAGTATTCTCTGCATATGGTAATTCTCTTAAATAACCATAGACATCAAATAGCCCTGTATTAATGAGAGTGGGGGGGGGGGTAATTTGCTCAGAATCTTGTCTGGAGGGCATTGGTGATGTTGTTGCCTGACCTTTGATGCATTTGTTGTACATTATAGCTGCCAACTTCCTCAAGAAAAACTTTTAAAACAACCATGAAGCCAAGCCAAATTATTCAAACAAGTAATATTGCATATTATAAAAATACCTCTGAACCAATTTTGTAACTTTGTAAAATAAAGTAACATGCATTTGTCTGGATCCCCAAAAAAATTGGATCATTTGTTCAAAATTAACAGAATATATTAGACCATACATATGGCAAGAAAAATGATAGCATAGACTGAATTGTGGATTATGTCATTTTATTTGTACTTTCATTGTGAGTTGAGAACACTAAATCATTTTTAAATAGGGTCACCCAATATTACAATTTAATTGACTTGATATTTTTTAACTGTTGTACCCACAGTCACAGTAAGCATTTTTTTTCTTAATGCCTGGGTAGTATTGGTTCTTCCATTTTTATGCAAGAAAATGTGAAAAAGTTGCCTCATGAGGGCGCTCTCCAAATATGCACAAACTCCACCAGGTGACAATTTTAATAAATGTAGTGAAAACAATTTATACAGTACAACAATAACTCAATTTACTGTTCAGTCTAGTTCTACTTATTTTCTACTATTAACAAATTCCAGTGAAAATTAATTTCATAGATGTTACTTGTTGAACTGTTGACTACTCTAATGTCAACTTCATCAATCTGTACTCCAAAGGCATTAATTTTTACTGGTACATGCATTTAATTTACCAGGCACTGTAAAAAGATTAATTATTCACTGGGTTTTAATTTTGCTGACTGGAAAATTCGCTAAATTCAAACCCAGTGAATATGTAAAATTTAGCTTAGAACACATTATCTAAATGATAAAACCGTGAATTTAAAACCCACTGAATATGCCTGAAATGGTAAATCGGGGAAATTTAAACCCAGTGAAAATTAGTCATTTTACAGTAATTTGCCATGAATATTAAGGTGCAACTTTTTCTATGTAATTTTATGTGGACTTATAAAAATTAAAACCCAGCGAATGTTTATTCACACAATCTGAATTTTGACTGGCAAACATGTATTTTGTTTCTATGGTGACATTAATCCAGACGTGTTACCATTAGACTGACAGTTGCGCATTTGTCATCACAAATTTGACCAACAACCACTGCCGATTTCTGCAGTTCATTAATGTTTATTTGATGGTCAGCATTTTAATACAACACTGGAAATTCAAACTAAATGATATTTTTTTAATGGAATAAATGATTTATATTAGACAAATTTTGAGCTGCTTTGTTACCTTCCATCAGTCATTCACTGCCTTCGATTGTTTCCATGGCAATATCAATGATATGCAAATTGATGTCCACTTAAAGGATGCAGGCTCCCAAAAGTTGTCAGACATCACAAAAGTAAATACTGTGCAATTGTACACAATGAACACCAATAGACTTGTTATAAAAGTGATTTATTTATCAAAACCATTGAGTACACCCTTGCCACCACCTTTTCCACAGTGAGTCTGCCAATAACACAAAGTCCATTGTGTAGTGATATTCATCGAAAGTAGTTTAAAAATGTATCTAAAATCATTTAAAAAAGTCTATTTAAAAAAAAAAAAAAATAAGCTGACATACAACTGACACGGGTGAAGCTGCTAAAAATATGAACCTGCGAATAAGCTTCAGCAATGCATGTCAACATTTAGTCAAACCTGCTTCAGTTTTATAGTTTATAAAAAAATCATATCAGCAAATCCTATATTACTCCTAATATACTTGTGCTGATAAAAATTAAAAATGTTACATGTAAAAAAAAAAGAACTGGGCACTACGTAACAATGTACCCAGGCGAAACAATACTCGCTCCACAATGCAGGATTGAGTGATGCAGATAACAATGCAGTGTGAATGATCAACACCTGATATATATCTGAGTGATGCACCTGGCACAAAAATCACAATGCAAGGGGAATGTTCGCACATATGACAGACAATTGAATTGAAAACTCCCATCAATGATGTAAAACAGCTGGGTGGAAAAGTAAATATTGCCTTGCAATTTAAAAATAATCTTAAAAGCCACTGCTGAGTTGTAGAGATTTCTTAGAGCAACAATACAATGGTTAAAACCTGAAATAGAAACATTAAAAGTGGATACAAAAAATCCACAATACTGCATTAAAAAAAGATATATACAGAGAAGGGTTTAGTTTTAATTTTATCAGTTTTAATTTTGTTTGAATGCACGCAATAAATGAAATTGATTTAAAAAATTAAAATATCGTTTGATATGTCAGAATACTCCACTCGGAGTAAAGTCAATTGAAACTTGGAGGGCAGTTGTCTCCTCTACATCTAAAAAGTTAAAATAAACTTTAAAATCTAAATTATATATTGTATCTATCTTCACAGACATGTCAAGTGTATGCAGTGGTGCAGCTCCTGTTCATATATATATATATCCTATATACGAAGATGGATCCGTTGACTTTTGACAGTTAATCATAGCACTTCAAGCGACATGGTTCTACATTATAACCATGGATGGTGCAATTCCATCAGTGCTACCTTTGACCTTCGACGCTGACAGGTTTCATGCTAGCCCATGGATCTTTTACCATGGAATGTTTGTAATACAGCCTCTCTATATCCTGTTCACTGACAGGTTGATTTCCTCTACCCCAATTCTATAATTAGAATAAAAAGTCTATTAGTGCGACTTGATCCAGTTTGTATCGAATTGTTATCGAAAATATAAGTTGTAATGTGAACAAATTTCGGGTAGTGATTCAATCAACATTCAATATACAATACACTTACTTGCTGGAATCTGCCTCTTCCGCCACGCTTTCCACCTCGATGCCTTGGGGTACTACCTTGAAAACTGTGTGGCGACTGATACCTATGCGGCGAGTAGTACGGAGATCTCTGTTGATATTGTCTCGGACTTGGCCCAGGCGTCGGCGAATACGGCGAAAACTGTGGTGATGTGAAGCCTTGTTGGTGTGGCGGCGATCGGAAACGATTTTGTGGTTGTTGAAAATGATGTTGACTAAGGGAAAATAAAGAGCAATTCAAAGTTTACTACCTCGTGCTTGGTAGAGAAAGTGCTTCCAAGACGAAACAAGTCGCAATTAATACACCCAACAATAATTATTTCACCCTATAAAATGCAAGCGATCAGTGAGAGTTCTGCAGTAAGCTACTTACGGTGATGAACCAGGAAATCCGGGGCTTGGCGTTCGCTGGAATCTGTCAAAGCGCTGATGTTGGTTTCCACGATACATTCTGTTACGATATTTACTACACGCACCTGATTACACTGTCGACACGACGAGTGACATGCCTTAGAAGAAACAATGAATGACCAGAGGGACAAACACCTCTTATATAAAGAAAATGGCGGACAGACATGTCACGTGGGGTCACTAACTGGTTGTACTTCCGGGTCAGGCACGCAGAACCTGATGACGTAGTACACAGGCGTATTTACACAAGCTGGATTGTTTGAAAATCTAAAATTGTAATTACTGCCTGATCCTATTTAAAATCAAATGATCAAACATGAATAGTAATTGAGCAAACACAGACGAGGGGGGGAGTCAGCTTAAGAGCTCTTCAAGGATCGCCATCTCTCGCCATAAGGTAATTGCTATTTTATCATTAGGTAGTCGATTGTTAGTAGTGAAATTGGTGTCATTTACGGTTGTTTACATTGCTCGTTTTCCTGGAGATCTGTGGTTGCATGAACACTCCATTTCTGGAGCGTATAAAAGACAACTAACACATATTACTAGTTTTTTTTTTTTTTTTTTTTTTTTTTCTTATTCGTTTTTTTATTAGATTAACGCTTTTTCTCAAACTAAAAATAAAATGTCCATTCATTACGCTAATATAATCATTACTATTTGTGAAAAGTAATTAATATTCAATATTAAATGAAAAATTGTTTTTCAAGGCTATTTTAATATAAATAGGCATTATTTTCAGATGAGATTGTATTTAAATGACAAATTATGGCAATATACTCGGACAATCTTTTGCTAGAACTGTTTTGTCCAAAATTAGCCACAATAATATGTAATCAACATAAAATTATTAATACTACCAGAAGTTATGTAATGAAGAAGTTATTATGTAATGTCAAACGATAAAGAAATCAGGCTATACTGTGTATAACAAATGTTGTTGTGTCAAGTAGGTTGATAACATTTGTCGATAACATATATTTGTACATAATTCTATTTGGCTTGAAAAAGAAAGAGCAACACATTATCAAGAGTTCCATCATTAAAAATAGTCAGTGCTTCAGTTGATTTATAGACATCTCGACCCAACAATTTCTCGACCCAAGACACCTCGACCCAAATTGGACATCTCGACCCAGACACCCTGGGCAGCTCGACCCACCGCATCGACGCGAACCTCTATCTAGTTGAACGTTGATAATGTTGCCCTTCGAAAAAATATAAAATTCTCGCGATCCTGTGTATTGTGCTGTATATGAATGCTGTGTTTGAATGAACGACATCTACATGTATTGATTTGAAACATTGAACACAGGGAACATGATCGAATTGATTTAATATTTAGCCAATCTTGAATAACACACGCGGTGCTTCAAATATAAGTCTGCATGTCTACAAGATAAAAACAAATACTACTGTAGTAGTTTGTTAACGCCATTTCACGCCCTTTGTTACGTGTCAATATTAGTGGCAACACGTTTCGGTGTCACCTCCTTGAAGAATAACTTATCACCCATTAAGCGCAATGGATCAATTCAAAAATGACGTCACTTTCAGGGGTCGCGTGCTGTGAAGTGAACAGCAAAAGCAGCAAAAAATAATAAATCAGTGAAACAAACACTGTGGTCTAGGCGCACTGGGAAAAGTACGACGCTGTTGGGATTGGGTTGAGACGACGGGTCGTCTGAAATAGGTGGGTCGAGATGTCTAGGGGTCTTGGGTCGAGATGTCCAATGAAAAATGGGTCGAGATGTCCAGCACCCCTTCAGTTATTCAACAAATCATTATATCTCTGAAATTATTGCATGAACCAGGTTCTTGTCATAGGGTGATATAATCTTTTGAAGCTCTCTGCTATAGATAAAATTGCAAATGAGTGATTTATATCTTCAATTTTTATTCTTTGTGTAAATAACCACAAACAAGAATACACAAAATTTACCTCAATAAATGCCAGTCTACCCTTGTGGATAGTTACTGCTGATATATTATGAAATTTACTCATTATTCAGAGTTTAAATCATTTTTTGATATTTTGTTGCTGAAACTTCTGTATGATTTTATTCAGTGTTCAGTGGCCATTTTTATTTTTTTTTTTATTTTCAGTGCTTCCTACCCTTTCTCAGACATTTTGTTGAATGACTATTTTGTTGAAACTTGAATATATTGTTATTCAAGTATTAAAATACCAGAAAATGTTGTATGAATTTAAGGAAATACCATGTGTAATTGCCAGTTGTGTAAAAAAAAAAAAATGATGTTTGGGGATCTGCAAGAACGAAAAGCCAGTTTTCTAGTAGGTCACTCATCATTCAGATTAAATTACATCAAAAGTTTGTTTTGTTGAAAGGTAATGGTGATCTTTAGACTTTAATGTTGATAACTCTCTTATATCTAGTAGTTATAAATTGATACCATTTTGCTGTGCATTTATTGTATTGTAAAAAAATAAGAGGTTCAATGTCATCAATATTTGGTGGTTTGTTGATGTTAAAAAAGTATAATAGTGTGTTTCACCAGAGTTAATTCACACATCCATAGGTGTCATTCATTTACCCAAAGACACTGTATACAATTCTTTGTGACATACTTCCTGTCTCAGTACCGTGACTGTCTATGGGGAAACCGATAAGTGTTCAAGGACACCAGACAAACACCATATTTGGAACATAATTTGCAGTAAATCATGTGCTATCAACAACCTGATAAAAGCTGTGGTTTTCTTACTTTGGGTCTTTGAAAATCATTTCTCCTATACCACAGGCAATTGTGAGCAATGATTCCATTAATTTGTACCACATTGTGTAAAACTTAAATAACAATAATTTTGAGTTTTGATGAAATGGTCATTTGACAAAATGGACTTTCAATGAAATGTAGTGTAGACACCTCTCAGACACTCTTTCATTGATTCTATTTGTATTTAGTACATATACCAGGCATAATTATGGTATGAATGTTCCTTTTCGTTGTTTTCATTCTTATGAATTTTATGACTGACTGGCAGTCGTTTTTGTCCAGAAAAACAGAAATCAAAAAATTTGAACATGTCATTAACCGGATTCTGGGCATGCCTGAACTAATTTTATTCAAACTTGGTATAGACAACAAATAATATTTTATATTGTAAATTGTTCAATTGGTGGTCACGTCGGTTTTATTTTTCTGTGGTTTTAAGCACACAACTGTTCAGCATCATTCAGCTGCAAATTCTGTGGTTTAACATTTAGACTTCCAATTGCAGCAATTGCCCAAAATTAGATATTGAAATGCACATTTGCAAAGTTTGGGTAGGAGTGTGCTACTAAAAGCTGACAAGGTAGTTTGTTACAGAAAGTTTTGTAACCAGACATTTTTTTTTTATTTATGTCAGCACATGTGCTACTAATAGAGAAATTGTGATATTTTAAAAACATAAAACAATTTATCTTTTCAGTGGCCAATAGCACGTAAGCTTTTGCATTACTAACTGCAGATTTTAGAGTTCTTTGTAAACATACTTGACAGAACTATTATCATTCAAGGCCTGAAAATATATACACAAATACTTTATTTTAACTGCTACTGGAATATTAACACCTGTTAACTATACGCGTTTCTGTAGATTGGTAAGCATGGCATGTCATGATTGCTAATATTTTTCTATTTTTTTCATCTGATAATAATTAAAGTATGACACTGTACACATTTATGTTTAAACAGATTGTGCAAAGTTTGTCAAATGAACTAGTTTTTAAGCAATTGCGAAGTTAATTCACATATATAAATTGTAGCCGTCGCATTGATTTTTGACCTCGATCATAATTAGACTTGATACATGCGCATTTGCAGTGAAATTATACATTTGTACAACATAATAGCACATTTGAGGGAACTCAGAAGAGGTCAATAGAGCAAATATAGTATTACATATAGGTTGTAGGTGCACTATATATTTATTTTTTTGAGATCATATCCTACTGGCTGTCTTTCTCTGAAATCAACCAAATAAAGTGACTACATGTGTTGTACCTTCACTTTTAAACTCACAATCTCTGTGATTTTATATTGATTCCAAAAATGAAACTAAAATTATTGACTTGAACTCATTCACAATGACTGATTTGAAATTATCACCATGCCGATATCCTAACAATTAGAATCCAAAAGAATGACAAGTGTTGCACACGAATAATCAATCATGTCAAGTCTAGTGTGAGAAAAAAAAAATCAATTGACTATGCCAAAGTAAAATGCTAGATATTGGATCCCTCAGGGTTTGTGAAATACTTTGTGGCACAATGCATGTTGTTTTTCAGCTGATGTTACCTGATGTGCACGCCATGTATATTTCAATCACTGAATTATATTGTGTAATGAACAGGCTATTGGTGATGAATTTCATGTCTTACTCACATGTAAAAATAGTCAATTGTACATACTCATACTAAATTTGCTCAATTAGTAATTTATGATGACAACATTTGCAAGTTATCAATCTTAAGAAATTTGCTTGCCAGGCACCAAAGATAGCTTCGTTGTCAATGGCTTGGGAAAATGTATTTATTTTAAATTATTTCTAAGTTTAGTTTAGTTTATTTTTGTTAATATTAAATTTTGCATTGAATAAAATATCTATTTATCTATCTATTATATTTGAATCATAATGATAGTAATATTATTTGATTCATCTATAAATTGTTTTTCTGTGGAAGTGGTGACCATGTTTAACTTATTTACATACTGAATATTATGCAAACCTGAACAATTAAGTTGTAGTGGAAGACACAAAAAAACTATGCTCCTAAAAATACCATATTTACTCTATTAGAAGCACATCGACAATACAATGTAGAAGTGTATATAATCTTACAATTGCATTTATTGCAGGGGAGTATGAAAATGAAAAGATTTATATATTTTTTTTTTCTTACATGTATAGAACCGAACTAAGTAAAATACAATTCTGAATCCGCCCCTGTGTTGTATACTGAATTGTTGATACATTATTTTATGTTGACCTTAAAAACACCTGGTTTTTACATAAGCACATATGCTACGAGTTGTATAATAATATGATACAGGTATATATAATATGCTATTAATCAGACCATGTCTACAATACATTTTAACTACCGGGTATCTTACTGTGTATTTTTGACAGCTGTTGCTTGAAAACCAAACAAGAATAGAAACTATTTCCAATTAATTTGTTTTTTTTCTCCTCCTATTTTCCATATATTCTCTGAGGCTCTTAACCTATTTGTCTATCAGGTTGCTGCAATGTCAACATTCATTCAGAAAGCTACATTACTAATGAGCTGGCTATGCTGCTATTAAATACGTTACGATGTTAGTTTCGCAGTGGCTCACTTGTAAATCTCCCTTTCCTACATTATTGCATTTTCTCTATGTGTTATATATCAAATTTGCTTTATTAGATTTACATATGAACCAACAATTGCATTTGCTGTGTACTGAATTGTTGAATTATATTTCTTATTTTGACTCGTAGGAACATCTCTACAATTTACATATGCACAAGTACTACTAATAGAGTAAATACAATATACGTTTTATAATGTAAATTACTTTATTTTGGCTGGAATTAATTTTCACTAAAAGGCATTTGGGCTTATTTTTTTGAATTTTATTTTTTTGAATATAAAATACTGTAGATTTATTACACACAGTAGGAATTTATTACACATTGAAGGAATGAATCAGTGAATATAAAATCCAGTGTATTTTTTCAACTCACCACAAATCAGTGAAAATAAACTTCATACAAAACAACCAAAATGTCTTTTCATTGAAAAAATAATTCCCCTAACAAATAAATAAAGTACTTTACAGTACAATAAAAAAAGAATTTTTTCGGGATTTTATTTCACTGATCGATTCTTGCACAGCAAACTTTGCTTTACTAATAAATGGAAAAATAGTTACCAACTTGAATTTTTGGTGTTGCTGGGACAATTCTCAGTGACTATGTTTTGAGAAGTAAGAGGTACATTCTGTGGTTAACCTTTTTATGTTCACGAGATTTTAGTTTGGCTATCAGTGAAATAAGCGAAAATAAAATCAAGTTAATAATTAATCCTTATACAGATAATTCTATAATGGTTTTAGCATGTTCATCAAATGTTATTTTATAATATTAACAGGCTGAAAACAAACATCTTCAAATCTTCTTCAAACTCAATATGCAGTGTTTTAACATGTAATGATAAAAGAGAATATTGAATGTTTAACAATTTCTCTGCAAATACATTTTTACAAATACACACTTCATCAATTTTCAAGACATCAATTACTTGGGTAATTGCAAGTCAGCGTAATTCATCACGACAGAAGTCTGACTGCCATTATATCATGAGTGTTGTTAAGCTTTAATGCACCTACCCAGAATACTTAGTGATGGGCTATTCCATTCTTTAGGTGGGTGGATGGCTGGTAATGACAGAGGGATATAAACTAATACTCTTACCATACGCACACATACATACAAAAAATTAAATATGAATAAATAATACTGAAAAAAACGGTAATCAAAGCTGACACCAAGGTAGTGCTTCTTAAAAAAAAAATACTCTGCAATTGTCTACCCCATCAATCCCTTCTATCCCATGGTCCCTCAGTTGAAAGTGGAATGTACTTTTTTAACATGGCTGTAATAAAATTCTATCTAGTGTATCTAGTTTTTTCTGTGTGATTGATATGTCGTCATTGAAACAAATTCCTTGTGGCAGTTTTCCTTTCTAAGAAATTCATATCAAATTACCTCTCCAAAACATAAAATATTTATACTGTTCATTTCTTCGTCAGCAGACTGGGTTCTAGAGAAGTATTTTAGAACGACTGCAACATGGCAGATTTTCTCAGGTCTCTCGTCGCGGTGTCCGAAAAGTCTGCCAATCTGGCCCGGGCGATTCGGTCGGAACAGACATTATTTGAGCTCTTGGTTGAAGAGAAAACTGGTGAGGCGAAGAATAAACGATTCATACAGGATTTCAAGACCTTGGCAGATGTATTGATTCAAGAGATGGTCAGACATGAAATTGGAACTAAGGTAATCTTATTTATCGCTCAATAACTTTTAGATTTAGTATAATTCAGTCAGGGATCAATAAATACTCAATCAATAAATTAGTAAATCCAATAATTATCAATTAGGTTGTCTAATATAAATGATATACTGTGTATAAGCGATTAACCATTAAAAACGCAGGGGTCTGTTAGATTTCAAAACAAATCCGCACAGAATACTTTGAAAAACTAAAATAACAGGGAAAATGGCAGCCTCTATATGTGTTAATCAGAAATCTGCCATGCATTTTACATCAATTTTTTTTTTATTGAGCATCTTGACAGCTCAATGTAATATCCAATCTCTATATCATCAGAGTCGGTGAGAATCTGTCTGTCCGCTTGTTTGTGTTCAGCATGGCATCACATTGCTATAAACTTATATTAGGAAGATCAGTGGCTACACAGTCTTATTAGAGTATCACATAGTCCCGAACATGGATTATGTTTTTTGTGGAAAATGGTGTCGGTACTATATATATTTTCATTTTTGTGCAATTGGTTCACATCAAAATTCGGGAGAGGTATACAGTGACATTCAATGGCTGGAAACGTTAAACAAATATTGTTTGTCCATCTGTCCTTCCATCCGTTCATTCATCATGTTTTTCAGTTTCCAAGCATGCGAGATCACATATATGGTGAGGAAGATAACACATTTACCAATACATTGGGTGAAACCATTACTGTAGGGGTGAAAGCTACCAAAGAAGAAACATCAACTCTTCTATCAATTGCATTGGATGGTAACACTGCAGCGGCTGATATACTGGCTTCTGTGATACATGAAGACATACAACATGTGGAAGATGAAAAAGTGCAGAGTTGTAATCTAGATATTGAAGTTAGTTCATTGGCTGTCTGGATTGATCCTATTGGTAAGTGTTTATATTGTTTGCTCAGTTGCGATGGTTTATTTCAGGGTTTCAAGTTGATGGTTTGATGTCCCTTCTTCTGTCTGTTGGCGTAAATAAACCACTAAAAGGTCACATGCATGCCCAATGGGACGAATGGAAAGCGCAAAGCCCCAACTAAGCAGACTGTAGTGGAATGGGTCGTCGCATTATGGGATAAAGTTCCGTCTCAAACTGTCATAAAGTCTTTCAAAAAGACTGGTATATCTAACGCTGTTGATGGCACTGAAAATAACCTGGTTTATGAAGATCTTGAGACAGATGAAGAGCTTGGTGAAGAGATTGCTGATGTATTCTTCATTCACGACAAAGATTTTCTTGCCGTGACATCGTGTAGAAACTTTCATACACAAAACCAACGGCCCTTTTCAGGGCCACCACATCCTCCCAAAAGAGTATACCGTTTACAAAAAGATATGATGTATGTTTTTGTTTATTCGAATGTGTGTGATATTTTTTTTTTGCCCCGTGGTGCCCCATTGTTTATGCGCCTGAAGTATTGCGTGCATCTCATTAACCCTTGACATGTCTAATTTGCATATCCCAGCACCATGTTATTTTAGATTCAGCCAATTGTTTGCAATAGAAGCCGCACCCCAAGTTTTAGTAATTTAACTAGAAAGGCAGAGTTTCACTTTTTACCTTGCCCGTACCATCAAAGATGGAAGGGAAAGGTATATTAAGGGACAAATTTTGTCCGGCGTTGTCGTTGTTGTCGTCGTCGTCGTTAATAATTGTTATTGTGTGCATAATAACTTTACTAATTCTATTCCAAACTTTATCAAACTTGGTCACCTTATTCATCAGTATAAAGTCTTCCCTGAGTTTGAACAACAGATGTCCTGTATGAAAATATCATGCAAAAATTGAGAAAATCTGATAAAATATTTTGACTGTTTCTACTTGACTGATCACTGGTGATACACATCAAAGGTCACTGATCTCAGTGGAAATATGCATTGTTGTATGTGTTCAATGAAGCAAATGATTTATCTTGTAATAATATCCTTGGTAATGTATCTCAGAATCCCATACTGGGTTGCAAAACCAACTCATGGAGAGATTGCACAGTCTGATACACATTTGCAAACCTACCAATAAAATCTTTACAGAAAACAAGATGTCAGAAAATCAATATAAGCACTCCTATGAACTGGGTGCCTAACTTTGATCAAGATCTGAAGCTAATAGAAAATATGTTTAGTTCAAAGTTATCAAATCAAAAACAATACATAAAAAAT